CTGGAGATTCTGCTCCTAGACGCAATGGCAGATTAGCATTAATAATAGTACAAAGAGAAATTCCCCATCCGCATTCCCGGAATGGCAATCTGACACAGATTTCTCAAGAACCAGGAGACACGCGTGGCTCATGTGCTCCACCAGAGACAAGGACACACGGCTCGTCGCAGCAGAGGGGGGGAAAGGTCACATCAACGGAATACGAAGAGAGCAGGTCTTGGTGCATCAGCTCATTGTTTATTTCACCTGAGACGGACAATCACGAGCTGTCAGGTCGGAGGGAAAACCAACTTAACTTAAAAACAACCACCAAGTTGAGGATTCCACTGCAAGGACACTGAAAGACAACCATTTAAAAAAAAAGACAAGACATGCCAAAGCAAGGCAAACCTCAGGTAGCGCACACATCTACAGTGTGTACAAGTGCTGCTCCTAACAAAGGGTTTTTTTTGTAACAAAACAAGGAGAGCCCTGAGCCATCACATTTGACTCAGACTTGAGAGCTGGGAGCATTATCAGTCTGGACTCTCGAACCCGCGACCTTTCAACTTTCTAGGCAGCACACTCCACACAGCCGCCCGGAGCCGGTTCGGGCCAGGAGCTCCAGTGCTGTCCAGCAGCGCGGCGAGGGCACTTGGAGTGCCAATGTACTGGACACATTTCCCAATAAGGTTATCAGCCCTTGATGGGAACCAGATACAAAGACTTAGCGAGTCCTGTTTAGCACTGCCGTAATGCAAATCCAAAAATATTCAATTACACCTACTGTGACTATTTGTTAAGTCAAGTGATATCCAGCACAAATCCTCCTCTAAGCAGGGCGGCTGTGCTTGCCTGGACAATGCTATGCACGATCCTCGGGGCTGTGTGTCCTATTCCTGGAAACCCAGAAGTGCCCTTTGTAATTCTAACAAGCAGGCGCACACGCGCGGCCAGGCTCTGTTTACTTAGATCACGTTTCGCATGCCTCTGTCCGGCCCGCCGCAGCTAAATTACAGCTCTTAACATTGCAGTCATTTTCACACAAGGCCAATTTATTGACAAGGTAATCGGTTTAATTTTTCTCGGAGGAAGAAGGGGGGGGTGGGGGAACGGGATTAGGCCGTGAAGCAGAGGCGTGCTTGGGAGGTGAAGTCATCCCATGAGACCTGCGCAGCAGAGCTACTGCTGGACAGACGTGGGGGAGCTCCCCCGGGCCCACACCGCCGCCCAGGCCCTGGAGGCAGAACCGGCTGTCCAAGCGGGGGTCTCCACACGCAGTCAGGCGAGCCCGCTGGGACTTGCACGCGGACTGGTCACAGCCACTCCTCCTCTCGCACCAGGGGCCGGGGGCGGCAGAGGCTCGCAGCTCCTTTGGAAAGACACCCTGCTGCTCCCCGCTGTGCACGGAAAAAAAGTGGCAAAAGAGCAAGTCGGGCTCCAGCGAAGAGGCTGGCATCCCGAAAGGGCAGAGCCGGGGCTGGTACACATCCCTCGACGCCCATAATCACCCACCCGTCAAGCCAGCATTTGGAAAAACCCACGTGGGTTCCCAGAAACATATAGCTGCACCTCGAAACGGAGGCCGTCTACAACGGCCAGGAGAAGCGGATCTTTATACTCGTTTCACTCCTGAACCCACGTCAGGGGCATCCAGAGAGCTGCGTTTTCCCAGCCGCAGGCCACACGGAGAACATCTCTGGGCACCTGGACTCCCAGACGTCCAGCTTTTTAAACCAGCCTATACTCATTAAAAACAATTAAACGGGGATGAAACAGTCGTATTACCAGTTTGATTAAGGATTCCACGGGGCAGCTGGACCCAGCCAGAATTAAAACGAGCAGAAATTGGGGTCTCAGGCCCCAGGACTGCAAGGTCTTGCCCTAGTGCGTTGCACCTAAAGACGGCTCAGACCCCGTCTCAGATTAGACCAAGAAAACCCGGGACCACCACCGCTGCACAACGGAATGGGCTGCTGATGAGAAAGTAGCTTTCACCAACTAGTTTGCTTCGGTGTAATAATAATCCCTGCGCAGCGCGTGAGGTCATGAGAACGCTGCAGCGGTCGTCAGGAGGGATTCTCATGCTCTTGCACAAGGAACAGGTATCAGCAGGCTGGCAGCTCCTGGATTAGAGCCTCCCAGCTCCGCACAGCTGTCCCGCCTGCCATCACCACCAGAAGCGCAGATCCAATTAATTTACACTGCCGATGGCACTTCTCCGAACTGCTGGGAGGACTATTAATAATGCCCTTCAACAGGCTCAGCAGATGCACACGACGTATTGCTTTCCGAGGTGTCAGCGCCAGAAAGGCCAGGGCCGACCGCAGCGTCAGCGGGGATACCGGGTAATTGTGATAATCTGCAGGCAGGCGTACTCGGCGTGCCTCAGCACCGCTGTGCCAGTCCGCTGAAGGTCGCTGGAGCCGGAGAAGCCCGGTACAGCGCAGCACCAGTCCCAGACAGGTCCCAGAGAGCAACGCGGGACGCTGAGAACCTGCGCCTGTTTTACGAACAGCAGAAGTGGGCACCCCGCATGGTCTTGGGGACTTTACTGAAACAGTTAGAGGATTATTAATCTGGACTGAGCGAACTTTAGACACCGATAAAAGATGAAAAGAAGGCGAGGAGGATGGGGGCTCTGCAGATCCAGGGCAGGAGGCCACTGTTTCCACCAGTAAAAGTCTCTGAACTCGGAACCCAACCACAGCGACTCCCGGCCACCTCAGAATGAAGCACCAGCAGGACCGGGCACAATGGCTGGGTGAAACGGAAAACGGAAGCTTAGCGGGGCCTTCGTTAGTGTGTCCCAAAGGGGCTCAGCCAGCAAAGGCAGACAGCCGAGGGCAGGCCGAGCTCCGCGGACATGGGTTCGAGGCTGGGTTCGAGGCTGGGTCTGACTGCTGGCCCTCCCCAATGGCTCACAATCAGCTGAGCAAAAAAACAAAAATCCCTGAAGAAATCAGGGATTGAAGAAATCAAGGCTCATCTAACTATCAAACACAAAATAATAATCATAATAATTGCTTACACTTATATAGCGCTTTTCTGGACACTCCACTCAAAGCGCTTTACAGGACTCCCCTGCACCAACACCAATCTGCAGCCCCACCTGGATGATGCGACAGCAGCCATAGTGCGCCAGCATGCTCCCCACACCCCAGCTCTCAGTGGGGAGGAGAGCAGAGTCATGAAGCCAGTTCAGAGATGGGGATTATGAGGAGGAGCTGCCCTGATCTCCTAAGAGGGGAGACTGGAGCATTAAGGCCCAGTCATGCCAAGAATCTGGGACAAGACCCGCTTTCATCCGTTACTCCCGCCATCAGGATGGTGCCTGAAGGACAGCGCTCCAAGCGCCCCCGGGCGACCTCACCGCTGCCCCGTCTGCAAAGGGGAAAAACGGAGCGCCGGGGCACACCACGTCCCCACCCGACAGGAGCTGGGAAAACGACCGCGGACCCGGACAGCTGCGCCACCCGCTACGTGGAAACTCAACCCACTGGCTATCTGAGGCCCCCCGAAAGGTTACGGGGCTCCTCTGGCAAGACATCAGAGAGCTGGCAGACTTCCCACGCTGCGCCAGAGAGCCGCCGCCGCCGCCGCCTCTCCGCGGGGCTCGCTCACGCCCGCGCTGGGAGCTCACACGGCTCAGCGCCCGGATCTCATTTCTTCAGGCCCGAAAATTTATTAGCCCTCTGAGCAGCCCAGCTGGCTGGATGGATGGTGCTGGAAAAGTGCAAGAAAATATCTAGCTGCTTCTCTCTGGGCCGATTCCAAAACGGCAACATCTAGGTGCCCTGGAATCAATATTCTGCGTTCTGACCAACATTCTTGAAGTCTTACTAGTGGATAGTACAATTTTAATAGACTTTAATTCAAATTCTACCCTTTTAATTCAATTCATTTTTATATAGTGCCTTTCACAACAAGGTTGCCACAAGGCTCTTAATGCAAGTGACCATACATGTTGTGAAAGTGGCCACTATATATTTTAACTATTTATATTCTAATTGTATTTATTGTTTTACGCTTCCAACACTGTTGAGATGAAAATACATTAACCAGTTCTAAACCTAAATATGCGTGTAGCTTGAATGCCTGCCGACTGAACTTTAAGAGTTATCATATCTGATTCAATCCAGTACTGCTGCAGGATGTTCACAATTCATTCAGGCCCAGGGGATTAATTTCAAGTGTGCCAAATACCTGTTACACATCTGCTTCTATTACGCCAATATTAAAAAACATGAGTAGTATTTCCTTATTTTATGCAAGATAACTCACAAAGCTTTTAAAAAGAAAAGCAGAGCCCATTCTTTCACATGATTCAGACATTCAAAAGAATGACACCGCTCTCTAGTGGTTGAAACATAAAAACTTCAGACTCCCATAAAAACTTCAGACTGCTGAACACCAAATAAAAGCAAATAGTTTCATACCTCAATTAAGAAGACTATAAGGAGAAAGAACACACTTTATAAAGCAATTATAAAATGACAAGACGCTCCCTACGAAAAGACAGTGTTTAGTACTACGGAAAAGAAAAAACAGAGGAAGACTGTCAGGGTATACAGTTGGAAATGCTCTTTTTTATAATCAAGGGATGTCAAAATCATACAATTCACTAGCAAGACCTCATTGTGAAAACCGTGCTCTATTGTGATCACCACCTCACTAATTAATAGATGTTATTTCTCTGCAGTCCGTATCGGTCCGGAGAAGAGCAGGAATGTCCTTCCAGCGGTCAGGCTGGAAGAACTGAACCCTTAAAGCCTTGAGCGGAGCACAGCCGACTGCGAGGGAACCCGATACAAACAGTCGCAGTCCTGAAGGACCTTGAGGGAGTCAATCCAGCCAACTCCTCCAGCAACCTCTGTACACGGAGGGTGGTGGGAGTCTGGCACAAGCCGCCCAGCCACGTTCAAGTCGATACCCTGGGCTCCTTCAAGCCACGGCCGGACGAGCAAAAATCGACTACCAACTCCCAAGCAGCCCCCCGGCGGCAGGACGGCACAGCCTACCTCTCGTCCTTTGTGCGTGACCAGGGCTGCGAGCGGCTTGGCGTAGAACCTGCTGAAGGAGAAGCCCAGGCAGCCGTACATGCTGTTCGCCGTCAGCTTGAGAGCCTTCTGCCGGATGTCGTACTGCGGAACACACGAGAGTCTCGGTGAAGAGGGCCAAGCTCACGGCCCTGGGCCAGACCCCCGCGGGGCCGCCATCTCCACGGAAGGCACGCGGCGGTACGGCTCAAGGTTTAGCTTCTGTAAACCGGTGCGGAAAAAAAGCGAGAGGTGCGATTTCCGATGTGGAGGGGGCCCGTATTATTCAGCTGGGCACCTGGCCTGAATTGACGGAGGAAGATTCACCGTCGCGGGAGATCAAGACTGCTCTCTGGACGAGCTTTCATGAAGTTTCAAGCACGGCTGCACCTTCAGGGCGGAGCCGCTTCCTGATCACGACCGTCGGGAACACTAGATAAACGGGGAGAGGGAGCCACAGCCAGAGGCACGTCTTCTGTCCCACACGGCACGGACACGGGGGGACGCTGTACCTGCAAGTAGAGGTCGGGGTTCAGATCGGGCTGCTTCATCATCTGCTTGACCTGCCGCCTCCTCTCCACCAGCTTCCTGATCTCCTTGGGCAGGACGCCCATCTCCAGGTCCGGGTCGGGCAGCTCGGGGATGTCATCCTGCTCCTCATCCTGAAACGAGACGCCCCGACATCCGAGGTGACGGCCAGCCCCCTGCACGCACACGCCCGCTCCCCACCGGAGCGGGGGACTTGCGGTGCTGCGCTGGGGTGCGATTTACTCACACTTTGGACAGACAACCTTACAGTTGGTTAGTAGATCAGTTCTGTACAATCCAAATAACTGAGAAAGAGCACTGTGAAGCACCCCTGTGGAAAACACAGATAAGCACCTCTGGGATGAACCCTCACAGCGCTTGGGAACGAGCCCCTTATTTACATTAACTCCCCACCCCACTCAAAACCACCGCTTCATCTGGGACATTGTCTATAAATATTACTGCATTATAAACTGCGCTGGGCCTGAATTCGGCTACAAGCTCGTATGTCATCACGAGTTGGCTTAGCCACACTCGCGGGGAGCAGGATCATATCTAATACTCCTGCTGCACATACAGCTTCATCATTTGCAAAGGGAGGAAGGGCACTGAAGACTCAAACCACCGCAGGCGAACATCTCACAGCTCTCTGAAAGAGCATCCAATTACTTTTCAGCACAGATTTACCTCCGTCCTCTTCTGGGAGCCCGGCGCCACTCGATGGACAGTGGTGAAGCAGATGTTGAACTCCTGGATGATGGAGGGATACAGGCTGTTGAAGTCCAGCAGCAGCACGAACTTGTCATAGAAACCTGGAACACAGGAAGGCAAACCAATTGGAACCCAGCGCCTTCAGGGGAAAACGATGCCTCTCTCACCAGCCAGCAGCCTCCGCGGCGCTGCAGAAGCCAAGAAGACCAGTGCTCAGCCTTCCAAGGCTGTTTCCCATCTTTCCAACATGCGTTCCACACGGGAGCAGCCCGATCTCTCGGACTCTGCACCCTACCCACAGACGAGCGCCAGCCAGCATTGGCGCTGCTGACGTCCAGGGGGTGAGGCTTTCCTCACACACGGAGCCCTGTCTGTATCCGCGGATTCGCAGGAGAGCCCTCTCTCAATCCAGTCTTACCAACTTTGGGATCCAGGACCAGCCCTCCGGCATAGGCAGCCTTCTTCCTCACCTTCCTGGACTTGCCCTTCCCCAGATCCACCTCTTCCTCGTCGTCTCCCTGAAAGCAGGAGAATCGGGGGTGTTCAGCAATGGGCAGAGAGCATGTCCCGTCGCTCAAGATGACCAGAAAGCCTTCCAGCCAACCAACCAGTCCGGAGGAGCTCTGGATAAGCCACGCCAGTAACGGAGAGGAGCCTGGGAACGCATGGACAACGCCCATAGCGGCCCTCGATCGTCCCCGTCACAGGAGAGGAGGGACACGAGGACACTAACCATCCCTCCGGATGGCACGCCAGGAACACCCACACCTAAGGTTTCCAGTTCTTCTGTAAACCGAGGAGGATTTTTCCACCTAACGAGACCAGCAGTCGCCCTGGAGAGCCGCTGGGGCTGGGTGCTGAGGAAAAGGCAACTCACGGGGTCCTGCTGCAGCTTCCTGAAGACCTGTTTGTCAGGCACGATGTAGTCCCTCTCGTGGAAAGCATGGAGCAGGAGGAACTCGTTCCGCTCGGAGCGGCCGCCCATCAGGGTACGCGACTGCGAAGACAAACGTTCAGTTCTCAACGTTTTGTCGATTCGTTTTTCCCCCCATTTGAATCGACTCAGCACCTGGCGTGATGGGCTACAGACCCGTCACACTGCAGCGGGCTGGGAAAATGCAGGAGCTGAACGAGAACATTAGTACTTAACGGACGCAAAAGCAACCTTTCTGGAAGAGTAACATCACAAAACCCCACTGGATACATCTGATAAAACGGCATATTCCAGAACTTCTGTCAACAGTTTATTTAACCTACAATCCATCCAACCCAACGTGTCTATTAGGCGTGTTCTGACATCGCCAGGGCCCAGCGCCCGCGGCGGTGGCTCACCATGACGTTCCCCGCGATGCTGGTGATCTGCAGCGCCAGCGGGAGCACGTTCAGCTCACACATGATCTGCAAGATGAACTTGGCGTCCATCCAGGTGTTCTCCAGCAGGTACAGCAAGCGGGCGGAGTCGCTGAGGAGACAGGAAGCGGGAGCAGGCTAGCACCTGGGCACGTGGGAGGACAAGGGGCAGCCCGGGGCCCAGGGCCATCAGGTGCCCGAAAGAAGGCACCAAGAACCACAGCCAAAAACTGAGCAAGGGCCAAAGTGGTGGAACCGTTGAAGAGGCATCCAGCAAAAAAAAAACCCGACTTAAATCACTAACTCGTGTCCGACAATCACAAGCGCAATCAATAAGCAGCACCCGGGCTCACCTGTAGTAGCTTTTGAGGTTGTCTTGAGGAATCGTCACCCTCTCCGTCTTGAGGATCTGTGCGACCAGCTCCGACAGGTGGTAGCTCTTGCAGCGGATCAGCTCTTTGGCCGAGATTTCGACATCGCAGATCATGCGGCCGCAGGCAGCGTTCTTCTCCGCGAAGCCGCTGCGCCCCTGGAAAGGCCGAGAGGGAAGACAAGTGTCTCATCCCATCCCTCCAAATACCACGCCCGCCCCCACACGGAGCGGGACACGGGAAGAAGGCTGCGGATCTCCGAGCCTTAAATGTGCGAAAAAGAAACTCACCCCAAGTTTAGGCATAGCAGACCTCCGCAGGCGGCCAATCTTGGACCAGTGAGGCACCTTGCACACACTGATTCTCTGCAGCAGGACTTCCAAATCAAACCCATAGATGTTGTGACCCTTCAGAAAAGGATAAAAAAAATAAATAAAATCAGTACAATCTCATGCCCAGATGTAAACCTGCAAAAGTTCTTGAAAGCAAAGAATGCAAAACCAAAGGTACAGCAGGACTGTCATGCGCTTACAATCACAATCTGTCCATCTTAGAGGTGAATTCTGCAACCTCAATGACAGCTCTTCTCCCCTTGACAATGACAGTCAGGACATTGCGGTCTCAGTGTAACTGAAGGTATGAATGTGCAGTGCACACTCCTCTTTCAAAAACCTGTGCCACTCACCACAATGACATCCGGGTCGATCTTGTGAACCTTGGCCAAGAAGAAACCCAGCAGGGTTCTCTCTGTAGCAGCTATCTCTACTTTAGCATTCTGGGGAGAACGGAGGAAGAAGACCATTAAATGTTGCACAGATGAAGCTAGCCCTTTCCAACAGGTGGCAAACCCAGAAAATCCATTCTTATCAAAAACCAACATTCCAATACCATACGTTACAAGAAATCCCCAAATAACAGGCGCACGCAGATCTTAAAGATGACACATGCTCTGCTTTACAAAACAACATTCTATGAATTTGAAGAAAGTCCAGCTTCTAAGCACGTGACCCCACCTGCACGCAGCAAGAGCAGACGGACAGACACCACTTGCCTTTCTATTCACAGCCTCCTTGAAGTCGTATGGGAAGATGCAGTCACTTGGTTTGCTGATGGCTGGAAGACAGAATCGGTCCCTTTAGTCAGCACCTCCGCCGCCTCCCGTGCTCAGACAAGGGGGAGCAGCCAGGCGACAGGGAGACAGGCAGGAGAGGGAGCACACTCACCGCAGAAGTGCGTCTGGAAGGGAGGCTGGGGGGGCGCTCTGTCCATGGGGAACCCCTGGTGGACCAAGGCGGCCAGGGACATGATCTGCAGCAGGGGCACAGAGCGAGAGAGAGGTTGCAGCAGGGGCCTGGACTGGACTGCAGGGGCACAGCTCACAGGAAGGGCTTTTTACAGGGTCCAAGAGCACAGGAACAAAACTGAAATCTCAGGCCCAACGGGTAAAGGGTACAATACACTTTCTCCATGTGCAGATGTTCTGTGCTTCCTGACTCAGGAATGCAGACCTATGAGGAAAAGTGCTGCAAAACATATTGTGATGATATCAAGGTGTTTCCAGTTAAAGAGCACACTTGCCCAAAAACACCATATATTTTCATGAACACAACCCCAGTATTAGGATTTCCCACAGTGCCTTTCATACCGGTCAGCTGATGCCTTTGAGACAGGAAAGCTCAAAACCCAGAGCTTTTTACTCAAATCAGTCCCAGCAATTATGTTTCTCAAATCTCATTTCTCTCCCGCTGGGAATTCTGCCTGGTGTTTACCAGAGAGTGCAGCAGAGTGGAAGGTACACAGAGAAGGAGCAAGCTTGACTAATTGCATCCTCCATCAGAACTGTGTGAAGAAATTACAGCCTCAACCCCAGCTCAAAGAGCACTGCAGTTTAAGAAGGACGGCTCAGCTGATTCTCCCGAGCAGCCTGCAGGATCAACAGGGCAGCTCAAGGCACGCCTTTCTGATACACCAGCCGAGAGGACACTCTCATTTACAGTGACAGCCGGGAGACTGCCTGTTTATAAAGACCTGGAGCCCACCTGAGATTCGAACCCATGACCCTCCCGTGCCACAGCTCTTCCCACTAGTCCATGAAAACTCCCTGAACCGCACAGCATCCCCCGTTTCTGATGAGGTACACCTGCACAGATCACACACCTTTTTTGCACAGGACCTCCTCCTATTAATACTTTTGTCCATTTCATGTTACGGAACACCTGCTGGAAAGGCACAAGTCCCTTTATCCAATGCCCACGGACTCAGCCATTCAGGAAACACGAAACCGGGAACCAGGGTTTTAGAGTGAGAGGGGAGAGGCTGGGTGGGGGGGCTCCTCACCTCGTTGTGGTGGGTTTTGGCGTTCTGTGCGGTCTTCATGCTGATCGCCATGACAACCAGAGGAGGGGGGGGCAGGTCTTTCACCACGGAGACCAGCTCGCACTTCGTGGCGACGGCCTCCACTTTGCACCAGCTCACAGAGGGGCTGCACAGCTCTGGACAACATTCAACACAGCAGGACAGGCGGTCAGTACGCTCCGGCCCCCACCGGCCGGGACGCAGCAGGATAGGGGGGCGGTCAGTACGCTCCGGCCACGCCTACATTTGCTTTCAGAACAAACGCAAATTGTAAACGCGAAGGTGTAGCAAATTGTAAATAATTTTGAAACTACCTTCCACCTTGTAAAAAAAAAAAAAAAAAAAACAGGTTCAAGCAGACAGCTGAACTCCACAATGATCTTACCATTGTGGGCATCAAGCACTTTCCTGAAGAGAACACTCAGCAAGCTGGGAATAAAGACAAGCCCTTTCCCGACGGAGACCTGGAGACCCATCCGCACAGGAGGGCAGCAGCCGGAGTGATCTGAACGCTCAACAGTGCGGCAGCTATGCCCTCACCACGGATTCAAACCCGCAACCCTGTGGCTGTGGAGTCTAGAACTCTCAGCACTCCCTGCACTCACGGGGGGCCCGGATGTCCAGCCAGCACGGCCCCCTGATCTTTCGGCCCAGCAGGAAGTGCTCCAGGCTGGAAGTGTTGGTCCCAAACACATGGGAGAAGGTTTCGCCCCTCAGGTCCGACGGCAACTGGGGCATCTCGGCCTGGAAGAACAGAACCGCACCAGGTCCACAGTCATCAGGAGGAAGTGTGGCAGGACCAGCAAGACCATACACAATACAGGACAGCAGGGACGTCCAGAGAGCCACTGCGAATGGCCAAGCTTGCATATACCCAAGTCCACCCCTCTGCTGTCGCATGATTTACTACAGAATACAGTCTGCATGGTAAAAAGACATAAGGAACCTTCCCTTAGGTGACACTCAAAGTACTAATGCACTGGCTTTACATTAATCAACTAAAACGGATGGTAACAGGCTGCGGGAAACTCGTTCAGTCTGTCCTCGAGGAGCCTCGGTCTCTGGGACTTGCTGACAACAGTGGGAGTGGGTCTGTGAGCTGTCAGCATCCCCACACAGCACTGCTGAGGCCTTTCCTGCTGGTTTTATATCCTGGCGTAGACGTCTCCTGCCTGTACACTTGGGCATTACCCGGGAGTGAACGCCAGGCGAGACGCGTCTCGACAGCACTGCACAGCTGAAAAATTATCTTCAATTCCTTACCGAACAGTTCTCTCTCTTCGATCTCCATCACACACAAAGCTTCACCACAGGTTCTTTTATTAACTATACTGCGACTTTTACAAAATCACCAGGGCCATCCGTCACTGGATTTGAAATTCCACTGTATGTACCAGCTTCAGATCACAAGGCGACAACACAGACATCCCTTCAGTGGACAAAACCCCCCTTTTACCGGAGTTTCGCCATTATATCTGAAGTCTGTTACAGCAAGGGTTTACTGTACTTGAAATAAATTCTTTAGAAAATGTACGTCCGTGGCTCAGGTAAAGCTCTGGATGAATGCACCAAAGATTGAGAATCAATTTTTCTGTCCAACCTACTTGTTATTTTAACATCATTTACTAGTTGAATGAATAAGGCCTTCAAAAAAAAAATGCTGAATATATTAGAAGCTGCAGACAATCAGCTGACTTATCAAATGTGTTTTTCCTTGATTGCCTGCTCTACAGGGGTCAATTATAAGCATTCAGTCTGAATGTGATCACAGGAGGACTAGCACAGCAGGTCTGCGGGGCAGGATTTACTCACAGAATACCGCACTTCCAAGTACTCGGCCTGTGAAGGCACGTCTGGGATTTCAAAGGCATAGTTCTTCACAGCTTTCTGAGGAGACAAAGCGGGGAAAAAGAAAAAAAAACACTGCTGTCTTGAAACTTTTCTAAGCAAAAACAAAACTTTTTTGAAATAATAGTCTTTCAACTGATGGCTTTTGACTATACAGCGAACCAACTGCAAATATTGATTACAGGTTCTGCTGTAACAGTTAAGGTACCGTTGGAGAGAAATGAACACGAGAAGACTCACTTCAGAGTCAGTGCCCAAGGGGAACGGAAGGAGGAAGAAACAACAATGTTATTTCTATAGAGACTATTCATCTCAGACACTGCCAATACTGTATATAGCTCCATCCCCAAAAGAGCCCTTAACTCCTACTTCCTGCAACTGAAATATCCCAGCACTCCCTGGTGCGCCCGAGACTCATAAGCAGGAGCAAACACAGTCCCAAACCTTCGACTTGAACTTCATTATCTTGTATTTTTCCGACAGCTCGCTGAACTCCTGGTAAACATCCATCATGGTGACTCGGACGTCCGACTCCTCTCCGGTTTTCAGGTTCACTTTCTGAAAGAGAGCACATTCCCTTCGTCCGACTCCAATCCCAGAGGGCTCCCAGACAGCCTGGGGGGTGGGGGGCTGACTGGACAGCGGACCTGTCGGACCCTGCCGTGGCTGCCACAGCCCACTCTTGCCCCACGCGTCCTGGCCTGCTGCTTTACACCCACTCCGCCCCACAGCACACGGACCAACTCTGCGACGCAGAGGCTCCTGCCCTCAGGCAGAAGGAGCCGGATTTTCCCGGCTGGAAACCTGCAAGGCATGCCTCTTGGAGCCCTGGGCATCATCCTGCCTCACGCCGAAAAGGCACGGCTGCCCACCCACAAGCTCCTGCTCAGCATCTATCGTCCGTTAGACAGAATGACACTTATGTGCTGCCAGAGCCCACTTCATCTGCTAATGGCGGCGCCCCGGACCCCCTGGCAGGGTGATAAACCTGACGATTTCTTGCTGGGAAGAGGGGTACTAACATGCTCCCGAGGCAGGATGTACATCGAGCGCTCGACATTCTTCACCGCGACGCAGCAGCTGACGTGTGCCTGGGCAGGCTCAATCCACACCTTTCCAAAGAGGTACACAACACCTGCAAGACAGCAGCTCGGAGTCAGGATAACCCCTTCCCACACGTCTGTCTGCGCCTGCTCAGCCCCTCCCCTCCTACGTCTGTCAAGCCGTCTGCGATCATTCGGGGAGTAAAGCACGATATACATGCAAGGAATTGTTTCTCATCTTAAAGTGAACTCTCTTCAGCAGGCGAGGCACCTTAATCTCACGTCACTGAGATAAGATCTATTGCAGATTTTCACCCACAGAATAATAACTAAAGTAATGAATATTTAAAAAACCAAAATGCTTTTGCAGCTCCGATGTGTATACCTCAGTTAAATAGACTTAACAGCTAACAAAAAGACAATTACTGGGAATTTCTGAACTCAAATCAGAAAGCTCACCAAGTGTGTTTTTGTGCCAGCAAAGTGACACGCTGTCCTACACTGTGCTGTCCAGATTTCCAGGGAAAGGAGCAAAACATGAGCAAGCCGAAAACCTGCCCGATTTCCCCCTCACTTCGTGCACAGTACAGGGTTTAAACATCTTCCAGCGCAGAGCGCAGTGAGAGGGGCTGCCGTCCGGACAAGGGCGAGACTAGGGCTCCGGTCTCTCATCCTCACATTAAGGAGACGACAGGGGCCCAGTGACAGCGCCGCTCACCTGGCTGGTTGTACTGGTCCTCGAAGGCGTCCAGCCAGTAGAAGCGGAAGACCTGCTCCCCGTCCGGCCCTACCACCAAGGGCAGGCGGCTGGAGTCCACCTGCACGTCCACGGCCGGCTCGGTGCCCCCGTCGCCCTCCATCCTCTCCCAGCACGACGCCTCCGGCGCCGCTGCTGCCCGCCTGCCGGAGAGAGCCGGTCACACCTCCCCGATCCACTCGCTTCACCAGCTACACTATCCCGCCAGGACTCTTTCACACAGCTAAGAACAGCTCAGTCAGCGAAGGAGAAGCTCCCCGAGGCCACCCCCCAGCCCCTGTGGCGAAGTGAGGACTGCTGCTTACTGGAGAGCGCCGTCCGGCCGCTCCACCTCCTCCTTCACCGCGGCCCGCGGCTCCAGCTCCTCCTTCACCTCCGCCGTCGAGCTGCCCCCCGCAGCCCCCTCGTCCCCCTCCTCCATGGGCTCGTCGAAGTCCCCCTCGTCAAACACCAGGTCAGCGGCGGCACCCCCTGCTGGGGGAGCACACACACACACACACACGCATGTTCAGGCCCCAGCGCGACTCTCTGGGCTCCGCCGAGCGCGGCTGCGGGCCTTCTCCCCTGCAACAGTCCTGTGGGCCGGAAGTGTACTGAGAAGGGGTACAAACGGACTCGAGTGTCAGCTAGCGTCTGAATGGAAACGCCCGCTGTTCACAAAACTCAGTGTGGGGAACATTTTGCAACGTTAACGTAGGCTTCTGAACCCCAACTTCAGGAAGCAAATCTGAACTCTGTACTGCCCGTCCCTGGGCTCTCGCTCACTGGCGGTGCAGTGTCCCCCGAGCAAAGAGACACAGCGGCCCTGCGGCCAGCGGGTACCTTGAGGCAGCTCCTGCTCCTCCACCTTCACTCGCTTGGCGTCAGCCGTGTCGGGGGTCTCCAGGGGGGCGATCCGCGCCCTGGCCCCGGGGCAGAGGTCAGCGGCGGCGCGCCGGCCCGCGGAGCTGACCGGTCTGCTGGGCGTCACGGCCGGGGCCTTTGAGAGGGGAAGAACCGTTACACCAGGCGGCAGAGCACACGTGCCTCGCTCATCCCCAGAAACGTGCCGCGCGACAAACTCGGCTCAGCGGTACGATTCCTGTACCTTAGGAGTCGGAGTCCTGACAGAGAAGGGGTTCGGGGGTACCCCAGCAGGCTTCTTCTTCTTCAGAGCAATGACAGGCGGTGGGGTCAGTACAGGAGACTTCTGGAAAGGGGGGGAGAAACACATCGATGCCGCTCCTTCACACCAAGAGCAGGAGACAGAATCCTGCCCTCCAATTACAAAACCTCTTGCTCCGAACTGCCAGGAGCAGAGAGGGGGGTCCACAGAAGAGGGGGCGCTCGTGCACGAGAGGTGCTCTCGTCACAGTACCTCAGAATGGAGATCCTGCAGGAGGTCACCCAGGAGGTCATCCTTGGACAAGTCAACATCTTTCTGAAACACCAAAGAGCATTTCATCCGAGTCAGTCATAAATAAACGCTGCTGTCTCGATTACCCATCGTTATCGTGCAATTTAACTTTCAAGCTAATCGAACAATCACAACTTTACCACACCACTGTTACAAAGTTCTCTTTAAGGTATTTTGGCTGGATGAAAAAGAGTGAAGGACACCAAGCCTGACCTCCTTGCTCTTTGCACTGTTGGCCATGAACATGGACTTGATGCTGCTGGGTTTGGACACTGCTGCCTTCTTCACACTCTTCCTCTCCTTGCTGCCCGTGCTCCGGTCGCCCCCCTTCCCTGCACAGGCACAGACAGGGCAACACGTTCACACAGCCGTCTTGCCTCCAAGGGAAACCGCTGTTGCTGCAAGCGTCATCGGCTTTACCTCTGGACTGCTGTTCCCAAGCCACTCTCCTTGCATGGTGACCAGGGACACAGCGGATCACACGACATGGTCCACCGAGGCCCTGACTACGTGGGCAATAAAGATCCCACAGCACTCTCCACAAGAACAGGGCCGTTATCCTCGGAGCCCAGGCTTAAACGCCACTCTGGCCTCGAGCAATGTGGCCTCCCTCAAGCCCCCCCTGAGGTCAGCCAGCGCAGCGGTATCACACTGCTCCACCCGCGCTGCCGTGCGGCAGAATGACTGCTGAATGGCACCCATGGGACCCAGGAGGGGCTGCAATTCACTGTTCCCACCTGTACATAAAGAGCTTTGGGGTCCTTTGAGATTAACAGTGCTACACTAACGCACACCGTTACAGGTATAAATAATAATAATAATAATAATTACTACTCCTGTTATTAAATGGAATTTGGCCGTACAGTAAAAACATTTACCACGATACTCATTCTTAACCACAGCCGGGCATTTTGTAGAGCAAGAGCACCCTGTCTGCCCCCCAGCCCCGAATACACCCCAGACATCGGTCACCTCTGGGAGCTCTGTCCAGGGCATCCCCATCAAGGTCCTCGTCGAAGATCTCCCGCCCGTCTTCCACGTAGCCTGTCCCATCTGCTCAGAGAGGCCAAGCGTTAACGCCCAAGGGCAAGCTCAGTCACAGGACAGGTCAAAACAACTCATGACAGAGACTCCCTCCCTCCCTGCCGCTCCGACACCGAGCAGGAAGCCGGATCCCCGCACTGGAGGTAAAAAAGATGCCACCAGTGACTCCCGGTTGTCTCGAACAGAACTGACAGACTCCCGGAACTGACTGCAGGCTACGAGCTCGACCGCCGGCGCCCTGCGTCACCGCACTCTGACTCACCATCGTCGATGATCCAGTCGTCGTCCTGCCTCTCCCTGACCAGCCGGGAGTACTGCTCCTCGTCCACCTCCTCGTACACGCTGGTGAGCTCCTCCACCTGCGCAGGCCACACAGACTCAGAGCACATCGCCACAGAGACCAGAGAGCTGAGAACCCTCACACACACTCCGTGTCATACTGACAGGCCCTGCTCACCCGACACCTTACTGAAGTGCCAGAGAGCGCGACGCCCCAAACTACCCTCTGTCCCCACAGCACCAAGAACGAGCATGCATGTCAGCAGGGAGCGGGCCGCCACAAACCTCATACTTGACTTTTTCTCCTTTCTTGGCTCTCTTCAGCTGCTCCAGGGCAGACCTGCGCCCAGTTTTCTCCTTCTTCTCCCTCCTGGAGCGCGACACCGCAATCCCACAGGAGTCTCCAGCGTCTGAGCACGACAGAAATCATCTCTCAGGCTCACGGGCGGGAAGGATGCCCAGAGGAGGACCAAATTAATCTGAAGCCTTTAAAAACCATCAACTACCCGTCAAACGCAAAGAAGAAAAGATCTGTTTAAGACCTCGGGCCTCTTGAGAAATAAAGCCCCTCAGACCCTTAAAGCTGTCCTGCTATGAACACAAACCCTCTCCTCGGACAGAGCCGGTCTTTGGTGTGACCTGTCACTCCGCCTGTCTCAATACTCGGCCATTCCGAAATAAGGTCTCCGGGTTTCCCGCTGCCAGCCTCTCGGAAGGGATGGGCGCTTGACTATGACGCAAGGGAATGTTTAAATCTCCACCACAGCGTTGCTCGTCAGTGCCAACCCGCAAAAGGCCATCACGCACGCCTGCGACGAGGGTCAGGCAGAGTGAGGGAAACGACCTCTACAAGAGCTCTCCCGCACTCAGAACTGCCTGCGACCCCGGGAGGGCACCCTCACCACACGGGCAGCCGCCGGGGCCGCGGAAGAGGGACGTACGAGCCCCGGCCGGGCGCGCAAAACACTCGCTCAGAACTGCAGCGTCGTCCTGCTGCGTCCGAGGCTGCGAGGTTTCTCATCCCTTAAACACAACGGCCCGTCTTCGCGAAAAGCAACCGCTCTGACGAGGCAAAAGCGACAGCACGCCCCAGACGGCAGAGAAATATCACCCGCAACGTGATTTAAATTAATCGCTGATCCACCGGTCTCCCACTGCACTTGCGGCCTGCTACTCACCACCGTCGTGATTATCGGCATCTTTATCTGATGTGGATACTGGAGCCATAACGATCTCCCTAGCCTTCTGACACCGTAATCCTCCACTTTCTATCCAAAACAATCAAGTCCGCGCCAATCGCCTTTCCCGGGAAAACTTGCACAGCGGAAATGACGCCAGGAGACACCTGACCAATGAGCTTCGTGCATTTTTTTTTATACCCACAGTACGTTTGTGCGCGGAGGCTGAAAACAACACGCCCGGACGTTACGTCACAATAAAGGAAGATGGGACGGCGGATTAAGATTAAAGGAATGATGGTCTTTGTAGTTTCAGTCATTGAAGCGCTACAAAGCTTTTCCGTCCAACTAAACATACATTACAGCTTCTTCTTAATTTATTTATCTCTTGCAGTTGGATGAGTTTTTATTTTTTTAGTCTTTATGGGTATTGGGCAGTTTCATATTCATAGTATCTGAGGCGCTCATAAATCTGTTGTACTGTACTTTCTACATATTATTTAATTGTAACAACCCAACTGTACTGATGTACTGTTCTCGGAGACAATTGAATAAATCAAAAACCCACGTTGACCGATAGAGCTTTGGTTCGCCCTACATAGCTGCAGGTGAAGTACGGACCAGTCGGCATCAAACCACCAGAAACTTTCCCTAATTTTCTCCCATTCCCATTCCCTATACACCTGCATCTGCCTGCTACTGTGAATATAATTTATTTTGCTAAACCGCATAAACTCTGACACTAAAAGCAAAGGAGATTAATACGAACTAAACATTTCAACGACGATTAAAAAGATTGCGAATGATAAAAAAGGTAAAATTGCAAGAGTCCCTACAATACTGTTTACCGTTGGCACTGCACCGTCGTTACAAACATCACTGCAAGTCCGTGAGCAATTCGCTCTCGGACAAGCGCGTTCTGTACGTGTTTGTTTTTGCATGGAACAGAACGCGTTTTTAACTCACTTGTTGTTACAGTCCTAACGCTCAAGAATCTGGCCAGACTTTTCACGTCAGTCATGCCAGCAGAGCATTTTCTTAACTGAAATTGAAATGACTGCGAGCCCTTCATCAGATTACCTCCCAGCCGCTGGTAAAGGCTCTCCAGTGCCTTGTCTTCTCTTAAAGCTGGTGCAGTACCTTGTCGTCTGTATCCCAGCTAGTTCACCGAACCGTGGGAGAACCTCTGGGATGTTGGGTCAGATAAAAGAGATAACGCCCATCCAATCATTCGCTTTCCTCACCGCTGTATCCAACACAAGGCGCGGGTGTAGCCGGAGTCTGTGCCGACAAGCGAGAAAGAACGAATCCGATGGCATCTCTGATGTTCTCCCGGAAGATCACTTATACTCCGCAGGGTGGCGCTGTAGGGCTACATCTATTTCAAATAAACTCTTGCAGGTGACGCTGGTACACGGAAGCGCAGTTACTGTACATGTGAGAGAAAAAATAGTTTCTGATGGTTTTATTCATTTTTTACCAGCAAAAAAAAAAAAATCAAGCAGTTTTATTTATTTGGTTAACAATCGGTAGGACACAGCTAATAAAATGATATTCAATTACACCTATGTTGTATTAGAGAGTCATTTTATTATTAGTTTGCTATAAAAAAACAGATATTGTGGAGAACCCAACACCATGGGTGTCCTAGTGTGAAGACGCCACAAAAGCAAGCCTGTCCCCGAGTCTCTGAAAGCAAGAAAATAACAATTGCTTATTTCTTTACAGTATTATATTATTATTATTATTATACATATTATAATATTTAGTCGGATGATAGAGCTGCAATGTGCAGTCTCATTTTCTTTAGCACACAGAAGGCTTTATGTTTATTCGTGTTGCTCGTCTGTACACGTTTCAAACAGGCTTCTTGGATGCTGACAAGCAAAACTAATCATTTAATCAGGTACGCCTGTATCATAGTCTATCCAAGGAATGCACATCTCCCATCGGATACCACAGCTGTCTTTGAAATGAGTTTCCGTCTCACAGGCTGTAAGACCGGCAGACCCGCCACGGGTCAGGCCTGCGCCTTTAAGAGCTGAGCTGAATGGAAACGCTGGGAAAGCCGAGCGGGCGGGCTTCTCCAGGCGCTTGGTCCTGGCTAAATGGGGCGATTTATCCCGAGGAAGCAGTTGCCATGGCTACCACCCCGGGTGCTTCTGTCCCAACAATGGCAGCCTGTTTTCAGGAGCTTTTTCAGACCCTGCTCGCCGAGGCGTGCCGTTCCCCTCGCTCCCACATCACTGCGCTCACACCGGGCTGAGCGAGCGGCCCAGCGGTTTCAGGGCGTCGCTATCGGGTCCTAACCCCGAGTCCCTGCGTTAGGGGAGCGGGGGGCCCAGCGGTCCAGCGGTCGTTCCGTGCCCCTCCAGCGGCAGCAGTCCCGAAGCTCCCCCCCTCCCTCCTTTACATAAACTGGCCTTTCACCGCTCTCGCTGTCGATACCGAGGAGCCCGTCGCGACCAACTTGGCATGAACTTTGCACACTGTCGACTTCGTCAGCAAGGGTCAGTCAGGGTTCCCGAAACCGGCCTCCGTCGCGCTGACAGAGGCAGAGCCTGGCGTGCTCGGGGGCTGCCGCGGTCCGAGATGGTTGGTAGGAAACGCAGAGGCGAAGGAAGAGTTGGGCTGCCTCTTCCAGGCGTCAAAGCGCCCCGCAAGGTAATTCTGTCAATCTCAAGCAGGGGGGAGGGAGGGAGGCGAGAGGGGAGCCGTGTCACTAAATGTCGTTAAGTGTCACAGTGTAATACCTGCCCTGCGGATAGGCTTGGCAGGGGAAGAAACCCCGTCTGCCGCTGGACTCCAGCCTGCCCCCCAGCCTCAGGATCGCGGCTGGAGCCGGGCAGACGACAGGTCCGACCGGCAAAACACGGCTCGGGTGTCCTGCCTTCTCGTAATGCGCGCAGGACTCCGGGTGGTCTGTTTAGTCGTGACTTCGATCTATACCTGGTTGACGAGAGAGAACCCGACACCGGGGCAGAGAGAAAGAGCGTGGAGACGAAGTTGACCCGTATGTTGTTAATCGGTACAGACGAATCTGAGTGACATTTTCTGCTTACATTCATATGAAGCTTCTGCATCACTCTGCCTCCGTTAGAAAACAGAAATAGAATAGAAACGCCACAATACAGAAATAAAAGGGAAACATTTAACTTGTCTGCGATTAAATAATAATTTGCATTAACGTGCCGTGAAGTGACACTTACGCATAAACTAGTCGGAGAAGGATATAGCGCACAAAAGGAGTTTAAAATAAGTTAAAATAAGTTTTTCCTGCTAACCAGTTAAAATTGGCGACATCATTTACATATCTTTTAACATGTTGGTGACTTACTGGTAACATATTTTTGGATTTTGGATTTACCTCAATTACACTTGTGGTCCAAGAAAGATTTTTGTTTCCGTTTCAAATCCTACCCTGAAAATTATCAAGGACCGGTTATATTTAATATTTTAAAAATATTCTTCCTTATTTTATCATTCTTTCTTTTCTTCTGATTATATAACGTGTTGAGCATAGAAAGTTCGGTTGAATACAAGTTTCAAACTTATTTTTTCATACACAGGACAGAATGTAATTTTCAGGCAAAATTAAACCATTGCCTTTATTCTCCTTCGAAGTACTTAGAAACCAAAGGGTGTCTTGAATTCAATTCGATCCCGTGTTACAGTAAAATCATGTAAAGAGTTTGTTTTTTGGGGGGTGGGCGGGCGTGGGGCATGGGGGTTGTGTTGGGTTTAAAGGGGCTCCCTGGTTCACTTGCGCTGAGAAAGTAACACTGCCCCCAGGTGTGGACACGAGGAATTGCCCTGTGCAGTGTGTTATCGGTCTGTTCTCCTCCCCCAGTCACAGAACGGGATGTGTCCAATCCAGGACCAAAGATAATGATCTCCCATCCCTACGTCACCCTGCAGCTCCCAGCTGGCAGCTCACTGGAGCTCAGCAGTGTGAGCCTGGCCAGTACCTGGATGGGAGACCTCCTGGGAAAGCTAAGGCTGCTGCTGGAAGAGGTGTTAGTGGGGCCAGCAGGGGGCGCTCACCCTGGGGTCTGTGTAGGACCCAATGCCCCAGTATAGTGACGGGGACTCTGTACTGTAAAAAGGTGCCGTCCTTTGGATGAGACATAAAACTGAGTTCCTCAATCTACATTATCATTAAAAATCCGAGGGTGTTCCTCAAAAACAGTATGGGTGTTACTCTGGTGTCCTGGCAAAAAATTCCCATTGGACTTTACCAATCACGGCCTCCTAATGATCCCCATCTCTGAACTGGCTTCATCACTCTGCTCTCCCCCCCACTGAGAGCTGGGGTGTGTGAGAGTACTGGAGCATCATCCAGGTGGGGCTATAATGGTGGTGGTGGAGGGGATCCCCGCTACCTGTAAAGCACTTTGAGTGGAGTGCCCAGAGAAGCGCTGCTGAAGATGATGATTGTTATCATCATCATCGTCATCATCACCCCTTCACCAGAGTATCTCTCTGGGAAACGCTGCAATAATGCATACTTTGCAAAAGTAGTGTGGAGCCTTGTGAAAGCCTCAGTATGTCATTTCACTTTCTTGGACTCCTAACTCCAAGACAGTACTGACAGCGCAGAGGAGAGAACTAACAGGGTATACGTTTCAGTAATCCAAGGCGATTGATATTCCCACAAAACACTGTCTGAGTTTGCAGTAACATCATACAGTGGCATTACTTTGTAAATAAATGGCCAATGCCTAGAAATGAGTAAAGGTAAAAATGCAATGAAAATTTTAAGGTAAGAATGTATTTATAAATGTGGGGTACAATGTCGTCTTTGTAAGCACTTTATGTCCCATGCACACCACCTGGGAAAAGATATCGCAGTGTATGGGCCAGCTCCACCAGACTCTGTAACAGCTTCTTCCTGCAGACTCTCAGGCTCCTCAACACCCTGGAATCTACTTGCACCCACCCCAGCTCCAGAAACAGGGTTTAAATCCCCCCAGTGTGTTGTGTATAATGTATTACGTATTGCCTTGTCATTTGCACTATCTGCACTTTGTACTATGTGTATCCTGTCTATGTCAGTGTCCTGTCTGTCCTGCCTGTATTTGTTCCGTGGACCAGGAGGAATTGTATTTCGTTCCATTGCATACTTGTACTGTATATGTCTGGAATGAGAATAAATCCCTCACTATACAACTTGAGGTCAGCCAGCTCATTAGCTGCCTGTACCTGAGAGGGTGCCCCCCGCACAGCCTCCTCAACCTCGGGCTGAGTGAGCCTGGCGCATCCAGGGCACAGAGCTGAGCTCCACCCACACATCGACGGCTTCCCTCGTTTGCATATCCCATGACACTCCAGGCCTGTGCGAATCGCTTCCTGGTGGCGCTATGGCCGTGGCAGCCAATCAGCTCCTCCCATGCAAACGAGGGAGCAGCAGCTTCGGCGGGGCTGCTGCTCTCCCTGCAGACGCCTCCCCTCCCTCCCTGCCTTTTTTCTGCCTCCGTGAGGCTGTTGTTATGGTAACCGACCGAGGCTGTGGCTGTCCAGCCTGCATTTTACTACAATACGGTACAGAGGACCCCACCCTCTCTCGGCCTCCTCTCGAGGACATCATAGAGCAAACGAATTGCTAGGAAGAAGCTGCCAACCTTGGAGGGGGAGGGGGGGAGCTGGCTGGAGTGTGGGCAGACGTGTTGGGCACAATAGAGTGAGGAGGATAGCCATGCTAGTGCTCAGCCCTGATGCTGAGTCACAGATAGGTATCCCAAAATTCCCTTCTTTTGAGCCTCCTTCAGGAACCATGGAGGAGATAGAGCACACATGTCCCCAGCCGCGGACGGTGAGTGAATGTGTTTTTTTTCTCCTCCGTGTCTGAAATGTCTCCTTTGTCTCGGCGGAAGCAGCAGCAGGCTGAGGGCTGTGTCTGTGATGTGGAATGCTGAGCCGCTGCTCGCTTCCCCTCGCGGTGCCGCTGCCCGACAGCACCCTGGGACAGGGACAGGCTCAACCTCTTTGCTCTCGCTAACAACAAGCTCCTGCTTGGAATTGCAACATCCCAGCTACCTCCCGGCTAGCCATCCTGTTCCAGGGGGGATTGGGGTTGGATTGACTGTGGATGCGGCCTTTTAAGTTTCTCAGTTTCTCAGTTTTCTCGTCTTGCATGCTGGTGCTGCAGAGGATGTCAGACTGTCACAGCGAATAGGACCAGAATAGTAACCTGCAAGATAAGAGCAGTGTGTCTCAGCCGCCCTTCAGGACCTCCTGCAGTGCATCAGCCTTCTGGGAAGGGTCTTAAAAGGTCGTTACCATTGGCGACACTGTACTCAGTCCCAGCAGCCAGTATGCCTTTCCCCTCTGTTACCTCTGCAGCTAAGGAAAATTGAATATGATTTCTGTCTGACAGAAAGTCTGTAGTCGAAACAATCCAGGTCCGTTGATCAATAAGCATCTGTCACATGCACGTTATTGATTTCTGACCATTTCAGTTCTCTAACCCAGTTTTATCGAGGGGAGTCAGCCCAGCGGCCAACAGGGGGCAGTCCAGCTGAGCCAGATGTGCTCCAGCTGTTTAATGGGCTCTTTTTCCGTGGAGCCTCATACTGGAGCCCCTGGACCTCCTCCAGCTGTGCACTGGACTGGATGCTTTTCTTCGCCTCTTGACCATGAGCGGGGTTACATCTTCTGAAATCCCACAACCTCACTTCTGCCAAAGATGTACCTAGAACACCCTTTGTCTGTTCTGGGCGAAATGAGCGGAGTTTGCAGATCTCTCTCCTGTTCCCAGTTCAACGCTGCCTGACCCCTGAACAGACATCTCCTTCAGTGGATTTTACACACCATGGCCAATATCTGTCAGGCAGAAAACTGCTGAGAACATTTGGTCTTTTATTGTTACATCACTTTCATTTTGTTTTGCTTTAAATCGTAAATCTATCTGTTACATCCCCGTAAATTTTCGAAACTGCTGAGCAGCTCTAGATCTGTGTCTTACAAGCAGTCAATATCCCTGATATCTAATACAATTAAGCTGTGGTGTGCTTAAACAAAACCTGAGGTCATTGGGGTCAGACTCTAACACCAGAGTTATTATTAAAAAGGCTGGTATTGACAAACATGTCAGTTTCCATCAGGACAAGACGATTTTTTCTACAGCTCTTTTCAGTCCTGTGCTGTTGTATTTAATGAATCACGTCTCCTTTCTTTGACTCTGTGCAATAGGGTACATCCAGAACCTTACCATCTGACAGCTCTGCAGATAATTTTCAAATCACAGTCAGGTCACACTATTTTGCTTTAAAACCGTGCTTAATAAAGGCTGCCCAAAGGCCTTACTCATAGGACTGCTGTAATTCCAGTGAGAGAAAATATGGACAGCTCCAGAAGACTAAAACCCAAGATGCTACGATGTTAGTTTTCTACTTGAACAAAAGGACATGTTTACACGAGTGTAGGAAGCTACAGGCGCTGAATTATTGATGACTGGAAACAGCATGTCCAGATGGACTGGCCCTTGACTTTTTGCCAACCCAGGGGCATGTCAAGGGCACACTAATTGTTCTTAATTGTTCACCAGAGGAAATAGCCTACTGTAATTGTTAACATGGTCTGGAGGAATAATGAGTTGGGGAGGGAACATTATTTGAAAAGGACCATCCAAAGGGTACTTCGCTTTAAATCTAAATATCCTCAGCGAAAAAAAATCCTTGTGGATGCAAGCTTCAGGAGTCATACAAAAAACAAACAAGCAGCAAAGGCCAGTTGGTTTGTGTTTTTGATATGCATCCTGACCAGGTTATGCCGTGCTGGTCCCAAGTATGCATTAAGTGATTGTGCACATTCAAAACGACTATCATGCAGCTCGTCATTGCAAAAAACAACAACACACAACAACTGGACCATACGTATGTTATCTTTGTGTTGTACGCTTGAGCTATACCCAGCTTTCAAAACACCGGAGAAACTAACGGTTCTCAGAAGCATGGCAACAGTCAGCTTTGCAGCCAGTTAGGAGGACGCCTCTTTTAAGATATTGGTCCTACAGTACCTGTTGTTGAGCCTGCAGCACCCGAGGGAGATGCCAAAGACAGGGGAGGCAGGTTCCCAGGAATCTACCAAGCTTGCCAACTCCAAACACACGCTTTCCCCTCTTTTGTTCTATTTCAGACGCTGAGGGAGCCCGCTGCGTTCGCGGACGAAACCAGCTGTCAATGCAGAGCTCCTCACGAGAGGCTCACCGTTGCTCAGGCGCATCTGGGCACACCAGGTCAGGCCCGACTCTCTGGGGCTGCAGGTTTCTGTTGCTACTACCAGGTTCTGTTCTCTAGGTGTTCTGTCTTCCCACTAGCAACAAAGGAAGTGCAACAGGATTGCCACGGCTGTTCATTTTGTGTGCAGTGCCGGTAATTGTCTGAGCACACAAGCAATACCTTCCAGTAACAGCACTTGAGTTTCAATCCAGCCCCGCAGTTTGGCACCGATCTTTGATTCTGGACTGGATTGGAATGAAGAAATTTCATACTCAACGCATGTTAATATTTATTTATTCGAAATATAAATCCTGACAGGAAAAATCTATTCGATCTGAGATAGTCAGAGTCAGATCAGAGACCAGTTCAGTCCTTTCTGGCCAGTCGAACACACTTCAGCAGAAACCACATGGTCATGATTTAACCACACAGAGAGCTCTGTCTGAGGTCCGCTGTCAGGACAAGCCTTACTCTTAAATATGCTGACTAAGCACTGAGAAAAAACACTGCTTCAGCGCCCCATCTGATGCCCTTCTGTCAGCAAATCTGTCAGCCCACAGCAGCAGAAAGCACAGCTCCCCGGCACACTTACAGATAAGGACCACCGACGGGAAACCCCTTGCAGTTCTAATCCCAGTTTCATTCTTAATGTGCACACGGTTGAGCATCGCCTTTCTGATATTATTCCCGCACAGGAAGAAAAGGCTGGTATGAGCAAGTGAGGATAACAAAACAGGACAGTGAGATTTGCCGGAGGGGATGCTGTCCGGCAGTTTCCCTTTCTGGTGTGTGCTTACTGATTTCCCATGGCTTTCAGAGGGAAGGCAGAGCCCTTGAAATCGTACAGTGTATCAGGCGACCAGGGGAACGGCACAGCGCAGGACGAGCTGGGGAAGCCAGGCAGGCACAGTAAGGGGCCAAACCATGGTGAAACTGCAGCTTGGGAAGCAGTGCAAGGAGGATCTGTTCTGCTGTGACTTTATTTCCGTCACACGTTTGGAAGCACACAAGGGATGGGGATCAGCTCATCGAGCTCGTTTGGTTTCTGGAGGATCTCATCCAGACGCTTCTGGGAGGAAACTGGGGTATGATCTTCAGCAGCAGGGCTCTAGACTCCCCGACTCTTCCCTGTAGTTTGATCCAGGACCTGTGTTCATTAGAGGATGGGAAGGCTGGCAGCAGTACGGCCCGGAGAGGGAGAGAGGAGTGTCTGCTGACCGTGTCTTTCTCTCCTCGCAGTGGACAGGCCAGTGAGGGTGTACGCTGATGGGATATTTGACCTCTTCCACTCCGGCCACGCCCGCGCTCTCATGCAGGCCAAGAACCTTTTCCCTAACGGATACCTGATAGTGGGAGGTAGGACTATTTCAGTGTGACACTTCCAGCTTCTTTAAACCAGGCTTACTTACGAAATTATGAAATGCTCGTAGTATCAATATGGTGAACACAAAATCTGAAACTAATAAATGTGACTTACAATGTTACTGGTAGGCCTTCATTCAGAGTACTGCGTTCAGTTTTTATCGTCTTACCACAATAAGGATAAAGTCTGGAGAATTCATAGAAAGAGCAGCCGGAATGACACCTGGTCTCAGGGATGGTCAGATAATGACGGGTTAATGGAGCTGAATCCCTTCAGCCTAGAACAAAGGAGACTGAGAGGAGATTTGATCCAAGCATATGGAACCCTATGGATAGGTATGGATATTGTCAACCCGCAGGAGTACTGCACACTAAATTGTGAAACAAAGTCTCAGGGTCACAGCATGGAATGAAGAGGGTTCTTTTAGCACAGGTGATAGGAAGCACTTTTCACACAAAGACTTGCGAGTAACCAGAACGGTTAGGTTGTTGAGGCCCAGACTCTGAACGCTTTCAGGAAGTGATGGTATTTTAGCTACTACAGTAGTTACTGAATGAGCCTGTCTTTATTTCCATGTTCTTACCAGAACACAGCTGTCTGGCCTGGCTGGGCTGTAGATGCACACTTTAAACACCACTGTTCCCATCCCCCTACTCAGTCAGAGCCAGGCTGTCAGAGGCTGACCTGAGCTTGATCTGGGCCAGCAGTGAGATACACAGTATACGATAGCAAGACATACTGCAGCAAATTACTGGAAGGTGGGGGGGTGGTCTGTCAATTCCTGCCGCGAATTTCAAAACGAGCTCTGTTGCTCTGAGTCTGTCCCTCTTTGAGGTTCTGGAGTAAACAAGCTCCTGAGATCCAGCACAGTGGGCTGGATGGGCACAGGCTGGACCTCCGTCCTGTAGTCCCGCGCCTCAGGACAAGCGCCCCCGGCTGGGGGTTAACGGCGGTTTTCGGTGTTTCAGTGTGCAGCGACGAGCTGACGCACAAGTACAAGGGCTTCACGGTGATGACGGAGGAGGAGAGGTACGAGGCCTTGAGGCACTGCCGCTACGTCGACGAGGTCATCAGGGACGCCCCCTGGACGCTCACCCCCGAGTTCCTCGAACAGCACAAGGTCAGCTCTGTGGACAACGTGTGCATATAGAGGAGATGGCTGTGATGGATGGGAAATGTTTGATATTTAGAGTGAAGCGAATTGGTTTTGCTATTTGTCCACTCCAAATATACAGATGGATATATCATTCTGTCACTCTGCAGCACTGGAACATCATAGTTTCCAAACCACAGGATGTTAAGGGATGCTGCCAGATTCTGGTACAAAAAGCACAGTGACTTCAGCCTTGATCGTCCTTGGGGCCAGAGCCAAGCTGTGTGAGTCTAAGTGCTCACCCCCAGCTAACACATAGCCATTCATCATGGACCACCTGACCAGCATGCAAATGAAGATTCATTCATGGAAAAAGTCCTTGTGTAACATGGCTCAGTGTCAGACTGTGATGCTATGATGTGCTAAATGGGAAGATGCCTCTTCTCTGTCCTCTGTCTGCAGAGATCAAAATCTAGCCATCAAGAATTATTCACTACAATTAAAGTGATTGGCATTTTGTCCAGGATTGTACTGGACAGTCAGAGTTCTGTGAAATAAGGGGAATTCCCTCTTCAGTGAAATCTTAATCAGATTCAATGCGTCTGTTTGTTTTTGCAGATTGACTTTGTTGCTCATGACGATATTCCATATTCTTCTGCTGGTTCAGAAGATGTGTATAAGCACATAAAGGAGGCAGGTGAGGAATATAAACAACCCTTATGGACTATTCACAATCCATGCCTTGTGTCATTTAATCAGTCACAAATACTCAAACCAAAAACATCTCAGTTTCTCCTTGAGAAGAATGCTGTTCTGTGCAAAATGTTTGAACATCAAGTGAGCTTTAGGTGTCAGTGATTGATAGTAGCATGGTAAAGTGTTATCTAGTCCAGTCAACAGGTTGATGGAATGACACCAAGCTCCCTAGAGGGAAATGAGCAAAGAGCTCTGTATCCCTCTTGTTCACACCAGCATTCAGTCAAATGTGCAAAATTAGAATCTTTCAGAGGAAGAAAGATAACAACACTTAAGAGAGTGGTACAAACGTACAGCCATTGTATGTTGGAAATTAACCTTTTCTGTCTCTCAGAACAGTACAAACATCTTGAGTTCCTGTTACAACCACCTGGTTTACTATAAGCCATGTAGGTATGGATGTGGAATGGTTTCACTTTAGATGGAGCACTACTGCTTCTTAGTAGTCTCTATGCACGTTGGGCCTCGTGTCTTTTTTCTGCTCCAGGCATGTTCGTCCCCACTCAGAGAACAGAGGGCATCTCCACATCTGACATCATCACTCGAATCGTGCGCGACTATGACGTGTACGCCAGACGCAATCTGCAGAGAGGCTACACGGCGAAGGAGCTGAACGTGAGCTTCATCAACGTGAGTGTCAGGCCTGCTGTTCCCAGAGCTGTCCAGGGAGGGGCTGGAGCTGGACTGACAACAGGCTGTTCACTGTGCTGAGCGTGGCTTCGCATCATGGCACCACAGCCCGATGTTCTGCTCTGTAGCCATGTGCACAAACCACCTTAAGTGTCCAACACTGTGTTCCTCAGGTGACATCTGGAGCCTGTCAGCCTGCGGAAGGCCATGGAAATGCACAGGCCATGGGGAAGGCTCAGATCAGCTCAGGCCTGAGTTTCAGGAGGAAGTATTCTCCCCCTTTCAGGGAGGAATGTGAAATACGTAGAGGGCTTCACACTGATGATGTTTAACACAGCCAGACACAGATCCGTAAACAGTCCATAAAAACGTGTCCAAAATGGAGCACAATGAGGAGCCTCGTACCGGCCCCTCCGACAGGGGGAATTAGTTTTTCTGCTCTTTGGCTTCTGCAGGGTGTCCCAGCAGCACGGCTGGGCCTCAGGCCCCTCGCTCCCCCACTGAGAGCCCGGCCCATCAGCTTCTCTTTTGCACCGCAGGAGAAGAAGTACCGCCTGCAGAACCAGGTGGACAGAATGAAGGAGAAGGTCAAGAACGTGGAGGAGAAGTCAAAGCACTTTGTGAACAAAGTAGAGGAGAAAAGCCATGATCTCATCCAGAAGTGGGAAGAGAAATCCAGAGAGTTTATCGGCAGCTTTCTGGAGCTCTTTGGCCCCGATGGAGCCTGGGTAAGAACAACACTTCTTCTGCAGTTTTGAGAAATGTGTCTTCTGACTGTTGCTGGTAAGATATAATCCCTCAATAGTCTACAACAAAATCACTATTAAAATGTCTTTTTTTGACAAATCTAAATGTAAAAATATGCATTTTAGCAGCTGCATGGGGGGAAAGCAAGAGTCATTTTCATACAGTTTATTGCACAGGTGACTTTCAAACTGCAAATGGTCAAACCCATTAATCAGCAAAGGTCTGACACTCAAGAAAGGAGAAAAAGGAATAAGCAGTCTTCAAACTATTTCTTTATTGATCAGTATTTGCTGTAAGTTTCTACATATTAATCAATAAAGTTGTTTCTGACAATTAAAGTGGTATTTGCAGAAGACCATCTTTCAGGTATAAGAACATTTAATCTGCACTTGGCTGCCTTGCAAATTCTTAATATTTACAGGTAAGTGCAGCAATGCACACTGTGAAAAGTATTAGATGCGAATACAATTAAATATTTCAGGTCTATTTTGGTTATATACTGTAGTTGTATTAGAGGTACTCCCACCTCCGAAGATCTCTGTATTCTTATTATAAATTGTTCCCCCTTGGGAAACACTTTTAATTACATGGATATTTTTTTAAACTTATCACACTAAAGCTGCTCGCAATAGATTCATTTGTGCCAAACGACTGTAATTAAAAAGCAGGTGTCTCCTGAAGGAACAGGGGACTCATTTAGCCTTAGTCCACCCAAAAAGGCTTAGATCTCAGGGATGACGTGATTATTCAAGTTTGCCTTCAAAGAGGATGGTTCTTCTCTAAAACGCCCGGCAGAACCCTCAGTTTTGGGGTTTTTTTTAATTCAGATTTTTAAAACGGAACCCACAGACCTCTGCTTCAAGCCCTGCTTGCCCCTGCCTGGTGCCTGTAGCACGGCAGGGCACGGTTATTTGAGCAACACACCCAGCACTTGCGTTTAAGCAGGGAGTTTTGCGAAGGCGGGGGGGTACAGATGTCAGACTGTGACTTTGTCCGTCGCCGAACTCGCTGCCAGAGGTGAAATAAGGGCAGAGGAGACTCTAACGTCTTCTGCAGGGTTCAGGCGGGAGCGAGTAACGGCTGACCGCGTGTGCGTCTCCCCCGCAGAAGCAGATGTTCCAGGAGCGCAGCGGGCGGATGCTGCAGGCGCTGTCTCCGCGCCAGTCCCCCACGGGCAGCCCCACGCGAGAGCGCTCGCCCTCCCCCACCTCGCGCTGGGCCTTCAAGACCTCCCCCCCGGCCTCCCCGCATGGCGCCTCTGCCTCCGTCAGCAGCATGAGCGAGGGGGACGAGGACGAGAAGTAGGGACCGCCTGCCACCCCGGGACGCAGTACTGCTACTGTCAGACAGGGCGGCGCCCTGTGTCGGTCCTTCCACAGCGGCAGGCCGTGCTGTGAGTCGCCCCCGGATAAACACATTACAGGGAGATGTGGACATCGCACATTGAAAGGAAAGCTTAGCCTCATGGGTACCAATGAGAAAATGTATTTAAAAGTACTCACATGTATTCTGACTTGAAACACTTCATTCTGCCTGTCAATTTAATTACTATTAATCTTGAACCTAGAACTAACTAGAGAATAGCAGGTAAGTGTTTTTAAATTCACAACAGAAGTGTCGAAGATCCCTTGACCACTCAGGACCGGCTTACTTGCCAAAGACTGGTGTGATGATACTTGACCTGAATGTTAACCTTCGGTTTTGAACGAACTGGTACTTGAGCCGTTGAAGATAAGCTGGTTTTTGGACACACTTTGCAAAAATTGACATGTGCATTGAAAAAAAGTCCCTCGTTGCTTTTTTGTTTCAAGTCATCAGTAGAAAATGTAAAAAAAAATCTATATCCTAATGATCTTCAGATTGACACTGGGTTCCTGCCTACGCAGATATCGATGTATTTAAAAAAACGGAGGATTGAATTTACTCGCCAGGAGTGGAGCCTGGGGACTCTGTACTCAAGGTCTCAAGAGCCAGTCACCAACAATCATGGACTTTCTGACAATGCAGGAGCTCCTGATGGAATCACAGCAATTCAATACAATTATTGTGTCAAGCAGAAGGTTACTTGAGAATTCTAGAAAATGCTTTTAAAGCTGTGTAACCGCTATAATGTAACATAAAGAGAAAGCTCATAGGGGGATGAATTTTCTCTGTAAATCTGATTTCTCGTGTTTTTTTGTGCAAAGTTTGCACGTTTTGTTTGAACAAATTCATTTAACTTAATGTAACAAGCAGTGGTGCTCAACTCCAGTCAAAAGAGCAGGTTTGCAGATTATTAGTTCATCATGACTGAGAGGAAAACTGCTCCAGCTGAACAAGTACTCCTGCTTACCTGCCACAGTGTGTCTCCTCTGACCAGGACAGGTGTCCGACGTCTGTTAAATGTGTAATGTTACTGTAACGATTAGTAGTAATGACTGCATAAATAAAAAAAAAAAAGCAAACCAAATTCAAATCAAAAACTTTTTTTTTTTACCACGGCACATTAATGACACTATGGTGTCTTTACTTCCAGTGGTTTAATGCTTTCGGTGCTGTTGAGTGTCGAGTGAAAATGTGACCCTGTTTTCTTTGATCTTCTATCATGTTCAGTGTCTCTGTGCATCATGCACGGATGTTTAGAGATCACGACTGCTGGAGGTCTTTCTAAGAGTGTGCAAGGGTGAATCCTGATCAAACCCCCGTATCGGAGCCCTGTGTTTTAAGGTTAATTGGTCACAATGTTCCATTACTCCAGCACATTCTTCCACCAGCTAACTGGACCTACTGGGGCAGGATATGGTCTGGGGTCACTCTACTTCCAAAAACTGGCCCTGCAGCACTGGAGCTGTCCACCACGAGCCTACCTATTCAAGAATATCTAATAGGTGTTCACGTTAGGCCTTGATCCTTTCCACACGGAGTGCAGAGTGGGGTTTTCACGACAACAAAAAAAGTCAAGGGCAAAAAAAAACATCTTTTTGCCTCAAGAGTCCATACATTTTGATGCGCTCTGTACAAAGTCGATGTATTGAATGTTCTGGAAGAAATGTTTCAAATTAGATTTTTTTTATAATTACAAAAAAATGGATTAATATGTAACAAATAAAGGGTACAAGACAAGACCAGGTCTTCGTGTGTCTGTGTGTCACAGCCGGGATTCGCTTTGGGTGAGGATGGAAGTTACCTGGAGAAATTTCCCGCTCAGCAAGACCTCCATTTCCTTCTTAGAGCAGTCAGTCTGTCGTACAACGGCCGGAGGTCACGCTGTAAGTTCTGAAGGTGAACAGTGCTCCTTATCTCTGCTTGAACAGGTTAGAAATACAGTTCTCACATGAGACAGGGAACCAGGTGGCTCAGCTGAGTTGGGGAGGATCCGAGTGGTTGGTTTTGCAACTGGTTGGGTCCAGGGATGACAGGATGACACTCCTCAGGATGGACTCCTCAGCCACCAAACCTCCATGCTGGTGACACCGTCATCCCTTATCCACTGCTTGGCGCTACTGAGCCCAATATCATCAGGCCTGCCTGGCTCTACTGGTCCCAAATCATCAGGCCCGTCTGGCGCTACTGGGCCCAACATCATCAGGCCTGCCTGGCTCTACTGGTCCCAAATCATCAGGCCTGCCTGGCACTACTGGACCCAAATCATTTAATGTAATGTTAATGTTTCTTTATTAGCCCTATACAATTTCTTGCATTAGGAATTCGTCTTTTCGCATACCCCAGCTTTTCTCCATGAGACACAGACACACAGACAGGGAGAGAATCATCGGGCCCGCCTGGCGCTACTGGACCCAAAATCATCAGGCCCGATTGGTGTTACTGGGCCCAAATCATCAGACCCGCCTGGCGCTACTGGGCTGCACAGTTCAGTGGCATGTGAGCATGTGACGAAACAGGGCAAGGAAACTCAGGAGTTTCTGGAAACTCCTGAAAATCCATGTTTCACAGATGCCAGCTGAAGGAAGACTGAACTCCCCTATTCAGTCACTGTAGTGACCTGATGAAAAGGTCCAACTCTAAGTGACTAATATTCTGACAAGATCTGTCCAAAGTATATTGAGTGCAGTCCTGGTCCAGGTTAACAATAAAATCCCATAGAACTGATCAACACAGTCCTGAGGTCCAACAGCAGAACACGCTGGCTTTCAGACACTGAATTTACTGTTAGAATATTTATCACACCCTGTCATGCGTTTCTCAAGTTCTTTTGTATGAGTGGTGCAGAGCAGAGATAATCGCCACAGGGAAAGGGAGCAAGCCACACACAATCACTCATGTTTGAAATGTTACATTTTTATTGTCCCAAAACACAGTGAACATGTTCTTTCGGCCAAACCAGTAGCAACATGTCTACAACCTTTTTGGCAAATCGGTAATCAATAAAAATAGACTGTCATCCTCTGCTGATACAGACTGCACGTGTTGTATGTTACCGCACTGCCCTAACAGAGTGACAATGATCAAAGCCGCCTGAACACATCCTCGTCATCTGTGAACACGATCCTGAGCATTTCTCCTCCAGGAAGAAGGCAGCAGCCAGACAAGAGGAAAGCCGTTCTCCAGGGCTCCCTGTCTGTACAGGACACGTCAATCCCAGACCATCCCCCCCGGCTCACCAGATCGCAGCATTGTTTCTCATAACATTCAGCCAAAGACTTCAGCCTCTCAGCAGCCCTGGGAGAGAAGACCCTCTCTTGACTGACACCAGGCTCTCTGCTGTGCGAGAGCCCACGCACAGCCTTTCCAACACTGATCTTTTCATCTCCTGAAGTCTGAGGGGCTGCTGTGAAGCACCAATGAGCCGGGTTGGCCAAGCTGAGAACTACAGCCTTGCACACAGCTAGTTCTGAACTTCCTTGAAAAAATAACAAAACTTGTTTTTGCATCTCTCTTACACCAGGGTGGGATTCAATGAGTAGCTTATTGATTTGAAAATTTGCCCGCTTCCTCTGTAAAAAGTATTATCTTGCTTTCGTGTTTGGAATTGTGATGCATCCTGCCCAGAGGAGTGAAAATGGTGCCACTGTGTGAACAACACTGCACAAGCACTTGACCTGCTATGTGGTGACATGTAAGAAACTCGTAGTAACCTGTGTTTGCACTCTTACAACTCTCCACCACATTGTTTCTCCTGCAGAAAAGTGGCGATGACTACAAATGTTCCACAACCTGCACTAACCAAATTAAAAAGGCACCAGTTACAAAACTGAGCACAAAACCAAGCTGGAGAGGTCTTTACCCAAGTCGCTTCTTTCATTGCTGCATACATTTTCCATGTTATGGAATCTGTGGTCAATAACTTTCTCAGATCTAACTGCACTGCTATGCTGATGACGCCTCACAAGCAACAGAAAGATAAAATGGATGCAACTTTACTGGTGCAACAATAACACAGACATGATTGAACAACAGCAAAGTTTATGCCAGCAGACTAAAATAATGTGTGCACAATTGCAAAGATGCAAAGGTTTAATAATTCAATTTTTGCATTTAAGAAATAACCTGCATTTCAATTGATGCCCAATAAGAATTAACACAGCATTTTCCCATGATACCCACTACTTTTCTATAAATCTTAATTAAAAAACAAAAGCAGAAAATAATTAAAAATATAAGGATAATAATGAAGGTACAAGGCTCTCTTACTTATTTTCTGTTGTGCTAATAAGCAGGAAACCAGGAAAACAGGAAACCAAGTTCAGCAACTGAGCCTAACAACAAGGCAGAAAACATTTCATTAATCAAATTTCTATAAATTACACAATATCATTTCCCAGTAAGATTTCCATATCAAGTCAATCTGACAACAATAAAAATGTTCACGACCTGCACAAACACTATTGAAGTGGTAAAATGCAGAATAACTGCACTGGTAGTACAACTGTCAGCTGCCCCAGTTTAAAACACCAATAATAAAAACCTGGTTTTACAATCTAGGTCTTAAAAAACTACAAATAAAAGGCAAAAGAAAAGCAGTAAAACACCCAAACCAAATGATCATCTTTCCCATTCTGGGTCTTTCTTTAGAGTAATCCACTGTGGAGCCTCAGGGAGTCATCCTGAGACGATCTCTGCTCTCGTAACATGAGCTTCGTACTAAAAACACAGACAACTCGCTGCAATTGTTAACCAATGACAGTGGTCATATAGTCACACAGTAATGAATGCATAATTTAAATAAAGCAAATGCTCGTTGTTCATATATAATTATTCACTAGCTCGTAATAAAGTTTCATACAATTAAGGAACAACTCTGATGCATGAGAGACTGCGGAGTGATTTACAAACAGATTCTGCAGTATTCTACACTGGCCCAGTGAAGTCTATACACACTGTGGTATTCTACACTGGCCCAGTGGACTGTATACACACTCTGTGGTATTCTACACTGGCCCAGTGGACTCTATACACACTGTGGTATTCTACACTGGCCCACTGTCTCACGTGAACACCTGAACAACTTACAGAGAAACAACCCCAGCTGTAGCCTGAAATATATTCTCCTCTGGGCCTTGATGTAGCTACTTGGTCTCTACCTTTGCCTAAACAACTTTCCAGCATTGCTGGCCCACTCCATGTGTGCGACACACATCATGACCGTCTCAAAGCGAGCTCTGCCTTTCACGAGTCAAAATTCCCATTTCAGCCGCATTCTTGCGAACGTTGGCATCACCACTCTCCTGAGCGCACACACCTTGGGCTGGTCTGCATCCAGGTGTGCTCCAGATATGAGGAGAGACGCAGTGGGGAGCAGGAATGCAGAACAGCTCTTTTGTTTTTAAACAAAAGCGGAAGCAGCAGGAACTTAACTTACAGAATGCCAATAGGGAGAGAGGAAGACTGTTCTGCGACTGCTGCACACTCGTCCTCTGTTCTTCCTGTATGCGCCCTTCCCCTGAGCTCAAATAAGGTGCAACGATTGCTAAGAACAGCTGCAGTGCAGGCCAATGGAACAGGACTGGTCCCATCCTCACATCAGCAGTGAAACAGCCAGCTAGGCTTTTTGCGGTCTTAAAAAACATAATAACGAAGACCTACTGTATAACATTCTTTAAAATGCCCCAAACATCAACAGTTAAAATCAGTGCAACTAAAGTTTCAAACATCTTCTGTTATGAAACTCTCATCCTCAATATAACTTCCAACAATATATATTATTTATGTAAAATAGTGATTTGCATACACAGCTGTGCAATTTTTTCTTATTCATTAAAATTGTTCCGTAAAACGAACATAAGGTGCTTTTTTTCCCCCGTTCAACAGCAAATGAGTTTTTCTAGGAAAGAATCTGAAACCTTTCTATACCGTGTTGCCTCTTGGCCAGCTTCAGAGACAGAACGGCTCGTGACGACACAGGACAGAGACAAACTCTTCCGAGAGGAATCATCACCTCCTGCAGCATCTCAGCACTTTCTCATTCGGTTTGGAAAGGTAACAAACACCACTACAGAGAGAGATCTATGTGTAAAGTTTCAGCAAGGGCCGCTATTTTGTCACATTACAAAACAAGTGTACTTTTTCTAACCCACTGCAAACGAGAGAGGTCGCTACAAACGGAGACACTGTGTCACGCTCCTGCAGTGGAGGAGCAGCGCTCAGCCGGGCGGAGAGGCCCTGGAGGAGCTCCGCCTGAGCACCAGCCAGGACACTCTGCCTCGCGCTGCCCTGCGGCTGCCGACCACCAGCTCTCACGATGGAAATGTCAAGGAGTGAAGGACGCTGGACGCTGCTGGAGATAGGAACGTCATGTCAGGTGTGCGGGGGCGCGGGGGGCGTGGCGGAGGAGTTATCTGTTGGCCTTGTACTTGGAGGCGTCACGGGGCTCGCTGCTCGGGTTGCTCCAGTCGTCCGCCTCGGGGCCGGTCTGGTAGTGCCGCCATGCCGACTTGTTGAACACAGGGAGCCGCTCAAAGGACTCGCTGGACAGGGCCTGGAACCCAGCAGAAAGACTGGTCAGCCAGACGGAAGCAGCAGCAGCAGCTGGGAAGGCTGGGATTATCCGGGTGACACGAGACCCCGCCCAGCGCAAGACAAATGAAAAAGACACTGAGCTGAGATCCAGGGTGGATCAAATGTGATCTGCACAAAGATCACGGGGTCAGATCACTTCCAGGCTATTTATTCTTTTATCAAGGGTGGGGCCATTTATATCTGCTAATCGATTCCCTGGATTGAAAGTTCGCACTTTCAACTATAAATCCTAACAGCCTGTTTGCCTTTTTATTGCTTCCTCACTCTGTGTGGAAGGTGAAAACGACATGTCAGCATGGATACAGTACCTAAGTCATTTTCATCAGTAGCATCTTCACGCTCTGCATTTTCCATTTTATATTCAGTTTTTGATTCTGCATGTAAAACTCTGCCCTCATCTACATTAAATGTCATCCGAGATGCTTGCCCAGTCGTGAATTCTGTCAGATTGCCTTTGCCACTTCTACAGTACTGGGTAATTCTCCTGATTTAGTTTCACCTGCCAGACAGTAGCTATGCAGGAAGTATTATTTGCCAACTCTAGATAAGATGAGCAGATAAACTTTGGATAAGTAGAAAACAGACACCTGGTAGCTGATCTCCTGATCTTACAATGAGGTGTTTCAAAGTAAGAAATGGAATAAGACAAAGGATAAATTCAAGAAATTCAAAAGTGGGGAAAAAAGGAGTAATCAGTTGAATCAGTTGACTAGAACTGGCTGTACTGTCCACCCACACCCCAGCTGCAGGTACCTTCAGGTAGATCACAGCGTCCGTGCCCACACCCTCCATCGAGTAGAGCTTCAGGTCACCCTGGAAGTATCGCGCATACAGCTTGGAAATCGGCAGTCCGTACCCAAAGCCCGCCTGAAAGACACAGAGAGGTCACAGGCAGGAAAAGCACGGCCATGCAGTCTTTACACACAAGGGGAGGAAGACTTATTAGACCCACAGTTAGCAGTAAGAATGATAACGGCGATCCTGCACAGTTAAAACGGGAATAGAAATGTTTCTGACTAAAAGGCCTGGCCTGCACAGTGTCCGACCGCTGGGCCTGCAGCTTGCCAGCCGGCACAGACACCCGTCAGAGGCGCCACACCGGCAGCCAGTGCTGGCTGGCATCACGCCGCGCCTGCCTGCACAGAGGGGGTCCCCAGGAGCTGGCCTCTCTCCGGGCACCGAGGGGACCCCAGCTGCCGGCCCCCGGGGCCACGGGCCCGAGCGAGAGGGGGAGCTGCTCACCAGCGGGGCGGCCCGGGACGGCTCCAGGCTGGGTCTGGGCGCGGTGGAGTACATGTAGTTAAACAGCCGGTCGATCTTCCTCAGAGGAACTCCCCCGCCCTTGTCCGAGATCTGCCAGGCACAGGAGCAAGGAGGGAAAAAACATGAGACATCAGGTGTACCACTTGTCAACAGCACTTCATTAATAATCTGCACTGAAAGAATCCCCCCAAATCAAATAATATTAAGACCCAGAAATCAGAATCGTTAACAAGTGACTCCCATACACTGAAATCTTATTTCATCTGCAGATACGCAGCTATAGATTTTTAATTAATTTTAATTATTGTCCTTTATACAGACAGTTGGGAGTCATGAAAACTAGACTCACACAGACTCCCACTTCCACAGTGCAGATGACTCACGACAACGCATCGCTACACCTGTTTTAAACTCACGGCCTGAGTCCGCAGTGCCAGTTGGAAAGGTAAGGAGGCGCCCGTCCTCTGTCAGGTTTTTAACAGCGAGAGGAAGCTGGCGGCGAAAAGAACCGGACAAAGCCCTCACCTTAATAGACAGATCCTCCATTCCCAGGGTGACCAGAGTCTTGATGGGAGGGCAGCCTTCCTTCTTGCCCTCATGGAGCTCCACTGTGGCGCGCATCGAGTTCTGGACACAGAGACACGCCACACTGTCACGCGACACCACAGAGCACTGAGAACACCGCGTGGGGAGTGAACGACGGCCCAGCCTGCTCCCCGCCTCTCGAGGAGAACCACCTTACTGATCGGATAAACACATTCCTATCAGGTTCTCAGTGGTGCAACAGAGCGAAAACTGAAAAAACAAACCCCATGGACATAAGAGCACTTAAAGACGTAAAGATGGTTTAACAGGTCAAGAGTATCTGACACTGCAGTTCCGCCCTGCACCACTGCGAGATGCTCTTGTGATGTCTAGTGCTCAGGCAGTGTCAGCAGGGTGTACACTGTATATAACTGGTAATAAATGCATGTGCACTTTGGCTTTAATCTTGTTTTTGATCCACAACCAAAGAAACCTCCGGGCTGCCCAACATGCTTATCCACCCTGAGTGAGCAGGCAGTTACTACTGGCTTTTCCCCGTTCGTGAAAACACGACCCTCTTTTTACAGCAGCTGCGTCTTCCACTTGTCTCCGGCTGCGTTCAGGGACAGGTCCTCCGGACTCAGTGTGACAGCAGGATAGTCTGCAGGGTCCAAGGCATGGCAGGGACACTCATTTCGATCCCTTGCCTCTCCAGTTTTGACCTGCTTTTGCATTTGTTTAGAAAGGGGGGAGCCAGGCCATACTACTCAGCAGTGAATCAAACCAAGCAAAAGCAAGCGCAGGAGTGTACGTGAGCTCAAGGATACCGCACGCTGCCAGAAGTAAGTCTCGTCTCGGCGTCAGCCTGTGCTCTTGCCAGCTGAGGAACAGTACGACCTTCTGAGGTCCTGTGACTGCAGTGGGGGGGAGCAGGCTTGTCTGTGGGGCCCCCACCCAGGACGGAGGTGACTCCTGCAGTGGTGGGGGCGCCCCAGAAACACTCCAAGCGCCTCAGCATCCAGGCTGTCCACAGTAACACGGGGGCTAGGGGCAGGTCTGGGAGACACGCTGCATGGCATTTCAGCGATATACTCACCTTGAACAGCTCAAACAGCATGTGGAAGAGATGGGAGGGCACGTACACTACTTGGATGGGCTTTTGGGGGGCCTTTGCTAGGAGAGGAAAGGAAAAACGAGTAAATAAAAACAGACTGTAAGACGATTCTATTGCAGAACTCTTAAGGACAGCAGCCACTTCAGCATGTGGTAACCTGATCTATTCTCTTTCAAACCAATTTCCCTCAGGGTTTAAAAAATAGAACAGTATGTGAAGCCTCACGGTTGTTGAAGTATATTTATAAAGCAATGAAATCAAATTTTCTTAAACACAGAAATTGTGGTTGACCTTCTCCGGCGTGGTGGCCAGCTGGGACAGCTGGCTAATCTCCAAAAACACTTCAGATATCAGGCTTTGACATTTCCAGTAGGGAAACTACAGGAAATTACCCACTTAATTAATTGTACTTGAGGAGATGAGAGTGTGCCTATAATTGCTTGCAAAGCAAATACGAACTAACTAATTTTCTCACATTTTCTGTAAACCATATTCTAAGGAGGTAGCAAAGCAATATTAGAAAAAGATTATCTACACTCCAAAATACTGGTTTTAATCATCCACAGGCTTGTATGACAAGTCCCGGTTCTCACAAGCTTTTTTAAAAAAAAGACTGATTATGGAAGAACCTTTACGTTTAACAAAAAAAAAAAGCCAAGAAATCTGACAGGAGCTCTGGCACGCACAGACAGCTCATCTAAATGCCAGTGAAGAAACATGAATTTCATTTTTATCAAAGGCTCTGCAATTCTGCACGATGACAGCACCTACCGCAGAACACACTCAGCTAATAATACACTCTCCATCCCTTCACAAGAAAGCCTCTTGGTATATTTTAGAATTTTTGAGTGTTGCCCAGCTTTCCTTTTGGAACCAAAAACACAAGAGGTCAAATTTCCAGTGAGACTGGGAGCTGGACAAACAAGGCTCAGAGCTCCCCTGCTGTATTACTGTAGCTGAAGATGGAAAGGCTTCTGACGGAATACTGATGGAAAAGTTACCAATGGAAGGGCTTCCTCAAATACAGCAGGAAGGACTGGCGTTGTTGTCCTTGCATGAAACTCAAAGCAGACAGAATTCCTTCACAGGCCGAGAAGCCTCAGTGCGCTCCTGTTTCCCTCCTGACTTTCATCTGACTCTTCTTCTCCGCGGTGACCTTAAGGGCTTGTATAAATAGGCGCAGCTGTGTCTCTGACTGACACTTCAGTTGCTGGACAACAGTCTACTGAACATAAAAAGTATTCTGGGCGAGCAGTGTGCCATTTCCAGGAATGATTGCTCAAGGGCTTCTACTGCTGCCTCCTCAGGCGCCGAGATTCAGGCATCCTTTTCTAATATCTAATGGATATGCTGGGTTTGTCTCTGAGTGAATCGCACCTTCAAAGACTTAAAATACCCAATATATCCGATAACATCTGCACTGATACGGTGTTGGCAATGCTGAACTCATATAAGACTTTACACAGCACATGTTTCTATACGTACTGAAGCTCACATACATACCATTGAATTCTTCAATCTTTAACTCGGGAGCGACCATGTAGTACTGCTCACAAAGCATCTTGGCGGTCTCGTACGCATCTGAGGAATAAGACAAGACCTCATCAGAGCTAACAAGTAAGAGAGGCTCTGCACAACAGTTCCCAAAACAGAAATCATTCTATTTCATTCTTGTTTCATTTCACAAGTGTGAGCCAAAGCAGATGTCTGGAGACGCTGTCATGCCAAGGCCCTGTGTGAGCTCATCAATTTCTTATTAAATATTTCAGTGCAGCGTTGAAAACCAAACAACAACCAAAAATCCTTTTACCTTTCACAACCTCTGCAACGTTGCAGGTGGGATCAATGCTCCCTATGTGCTTGGGGTGAGCTGGGTTTGTGTCATTACCAAACAGGAGAGCTGGAACAGAGTTTTAAAATACAATTTAATGTGTCAATTAATCCAGGAAGACCAAGGCCCACAGCGTCAGTGCCCTTTATTCTCTACCTCACACAAAGCTCTGCTGAACCTGCATCACAACCAGTTTCAATCAACCTCTGACAGTGTTTAAGACTAGCTCAAAAATATATGGGGATTTGTAACATACAGTATTCTAATGTTAGCTCATTCAGGATGAGCATTCTGCTAAAGGTCCTCCTTTTCTTTTAAGTTTTCCAAACAAGCTTAATAAAAAGCCTCAATCAGGTGTCTCTACGCCAGTCCCTTACTGCAAGAATACAACATGTTTTCTATGTCTTTAAGTTATAAATGGCTGTCCAAGTGAAAAGGCTGATGTCAACCCAATTAATTAAATCCCTTCTCCACAGTCTTAGATATTGATGACTTAAAGATGCATAGAAAACCTGATGGACTCTGTGAACTACAATGTCTGAAGTTGGAAATCCCTGGTCTGAATTAGTTCTATAATACCAGCATTTACTTCTAAACACAACAGTCAAGGCAAGTGAGAGTTTTAAACTCAAGCTTCCAGGGGTGAGTCATGGTCTGTCCTGTTTAAGACTTCAGTCATGCAATTATCATCATCCACTCACTGTGCTGGTTGATGAGCATCCTGAAGGAGATCCGGTTGGTGTAGAAGCGATCCAGAAAGTACTGAATGTTGCTGCTTATGAAGGGGTCAAATCCATACTTCTCCTTGTATTCAATCACTCCCTGGGCCATCGTAGGGACCACGTCGTTGTGTCGGTTCCGGATCTTAATCAGGACGTCCAGGAAACTTCCAGGACGAAAGCCAAAGACAAAAGTTACAATTCGACTTGCATCAGAGTGAATGCTCTGTACGCTGGATTCCTTTTTCTGCCACTCGCTAGTCTTATACGCCAGCTGTATCCAGAATACCACACATTCTGCACATTCTGACTAGCCATTACGTGCCACACAAAGGTATTCCAAATAAATCCAACCATATTCTGACAGCGGCCTTCTGAACACACGAGACTGAACTGAGAGTATGTTGATCACTCATGGCTACACACTGAATACTGAACACTGAAGTCTTTCTGCTGCTTTCACAAGAATAAATTGTATAAGAAAATTGAACAAGCATCATTCATCTCCTGATTAACTGAGATAAAGATTCTTCAGTGCACAAGATGGCCCTTGTGGACTAAATTAAGACATCTGTAATAGTACTGAAGAACTACCGATACCTAGACCTTTTCATGTGATGTTCACAGCATATGGTAGTACAAAAACCTCACTACCAGCTTACCCTGCACATTAAGGCCATATTTAGAAATTGTGGCCTTATACCACAGCATGTTATAACTACTGTTCTAAACTGATCGACCACTATAACAATGTATCCATACAGTTACACTTAAATAACATATATATTCATGGACTCAAAGTTAAGACTTCATAATGTGGGCTAAAAGCCTGACCCATTTATTAAGGTCAGCTAAGGTTCAATTAATCAGTGCCTCTGCAGGACCCAACTTAAAAGCAGACACTGCCTTCAAATTGTAATAACACAGATTACAACATGTAACAATGGCATAAGCTATAACAATACTACATACCATTTAATAATATCACTGACTTGATGGAGAGTAATTTATTTAGTGTTACCCATAGATTGAAAGGGATATAGACTTTCAATATGTGACACAACTGTGGCATAATGATACTGCAATAAGGAACATAGCTCTTTCCACACCATACAGTGCCTACACTGTCGGACAGCACAGGCAAAACACAGTACTGCAGATTACTGCTTGAGAAAAACAGTTCTGCCCTAAAGTAGCTCAGCTGTGTGAGAGGGCATTTGAATTAAATGAGGTGTTTTTCCAAAAAAAAGGCTTAGGTAATAGGAAAACTACTGCCAAGTAGGGGGCAACTCTGGGTCACTGGAAAAAAAGACTTTTCTGCTTAAAGGTACATTTTGTTTCACTGTGAAACCCACATCTTTTCATGAAATAGCAGTACTGTGATAGGACAAGCAGTCAGCCGCACAGCTAATAGGTTCTGCCTTGCTTTTGTTGAATGTCTGAGGTTTTAAAATCTTCAGGTGATGACAATCTTTATTTTGTAAAGTGGCTTTCATGGGAATGTGCTGTATATCAAAACTGGCAAATATATAAGTGTTACGGAAAGCCCGATTAAACAAATGGGTTTTGAGGCCCGGTTTAAAAAAAGTCTCGATTCCATAACTCTATCTGGAAGTGTGTGTAGTGAAGTCTAGGCACACAGACGCCGACACCCCTGACACTGACAAACCACAGTCTGGCCTTGAGGACAGAGACAGCACCTAAGGATTCAAGGGTCAAAGACAGGAGCTGGGGGTGTCACTGGGCAGCAGGGAAGAGAAGGGGGGGGGGCACTTTAAGATTGGTGCTGGTAAAGGTTTGTTCAATGTACCTTTACCATGGTAAAATGTACCTAGCAGTCTAGCTGACCACCATTTTTACTGACTCTACACACAGAGAAGAGCTCTCGTGCAGCTGCCTCGCGTGGCTGTGGAGCTCGATCTTCATACTTACTCATCCAGCACATGGGGGTCCTCCGGCCTCTTGTTCTCATACTGCAGAAGCTCCAAAAAGCTCTGCATGTACCTGAAAGAAGATGGCACAGCGTTTCAGAGCTGGTCCTGGCAGTCACGGTCAGGAAAGACAATGAGTCAGGGGTCTGGATGAGACACGACGCGCAACGGTTAGAACTTTCTGGTCCAGACCACAGAGAGGGGCTGTTTGTCTTCAATATCCAAAGCAGTGCATGCATTTCACACATACCTGTAGAGATATTGTACTGATTGTGCGTTTTGACCTATACACCACAACAACAGTCAATTAAACAATAGCCGATTCGTTTTGACTGAATGGGCAAGTAGCCTTTCACCTTTGGTCTGACACACTGTAATTGAAGACATTATCAGAGGCTGCACTTGGATCCTATTAAAGAAGACACTGCAAGTCACTCTGAACTCTCTTGGTTCAGGAATGTGTGGAGCCCTTTCCACAATAAGAAATATGCCTCTGTCGTTGGCCTGTGAAACTCACACAGTTATTGGGGTCTGAAGATACTTGGATTATGAGTGATGTGGAACAATAATCTGAAACAGATTACCCCAAATTAAAGCATAAAAACATTTAATGACATCAACAGTTATATGTGTTTGCAAGCTATGGTTCAGAATGATTTTGTTTCTCTGTTCTTATTGTGTTTAACAGGAAATGCTGTCTGCACAAGGAGGATCGGTACGACAACTCAGTGATCAGCTACTCTGAAGCCTTGATTGAATTCAGGGTAAAAGTTCAAAATCGTAATTGCAAGCTTTGCATTTTTGTTTAAAGAAACAAAGTACAACTTGTTTGAGAGAATATAATATCAAAGCCTTTTTAGAGGATAATAAAGCAATTTACAGAGATAATGGGCTGGACTATGAAACACCCAGGCCAGAGTCCCACGTGAACAGCATGCCAGTGGCTCAGTGGCTCAGGCTGGATTCTCACCACCTACAGAAGCTTCTACACCCAGGGCCTGCCGCTGTGCACACCTTGAGAGATGCACCCCTTGATGCAAAAAGGGAACAGGGCGAGTTATTAATAATGAATAATTCCTTACACTTATAGTGTGCTTTTCTGGACACTCCACTCAAAGTGCTTTTCAGGTAGCGGGGATCCCCTCCACCACTACCAGTGTGCAGCCCCACCTGGATGATGCTCCAGTCCTCTCCCCACACACCAGCTCTCAGTGGGGAGGAGAACAGAGTGATGAAGCCAGTTCAGAGAGGGGGTTTATTAGGAGGCCATGACTGGTAAAGGCCAGGGGGATATTTGGCCTGGAGTCCGAGATTCCACCCCTAACACCAGTACAGAGCTGAAGGCGAAGTGGCTCCCGAGCTCTGCAGGAGCCCAGCAGGAGGGCGCCTCCGCGCCCCGCCCAGCGCCGGACACTCACCAGGTCTGCACCAGCCGGACGGAGGGCTGGCTCAGCAGGTTGTCCGGCAGCAGGTTGACCTCCCTCATGGTGTTGGCCAGCCGCACGGGCAGCTCCTTCCGCAGGAACATGTAGGACGTCTTCTCGCAGGCATTGTCCCGGCCTGGAGGGGGCGACAGAGAGGCCCGCTGGTCATTACGACCAGGAAATCTCACACGGCCTATAAACCTCATCAATGACATACAGTGCTTCCCATTACAGGTAACTACGCTGCATACTGTATATAAATATACTACTTGTTTCCAACACTAAACTGACTCGTAGGCCTTAATAGCTATATATTAAGTATTCTGATGTATATGTGCAGCTCATCAGCCTTATGTCATTTGTAAATACAGCCAATTCCAAATTCAAGGGCAGGTTTAGTGTGGCGCTGCAACGCAGAGCAATTTGATCTGTCAGCTTTTCATCAATGGCTCCTAGACTTTACTGCAAGTGGACGGGACAGCTACATAAATACCAGCAGCACAGATGTGGAATTATCTATATTTTCAGCTTGTAAATTATTAAAGGAGAAAAGTGAAACCGGAGCATTAAAAACTGTATGTATCTTTAATAAAAGTACCAACAAACCTTTCAGGAAGGCATGTACCAATGGACCGAGCATACTGTATATAGACTCACTTGCGAGTTCTGTAACTAGGCATCTACATTGCTCTTAGCAGAGGTGTTTATAGGTCAGTTCCTTTCAGGATAAGGAGCAATTTCAAAACCCGGCCTCTCTCAGAACATCCGCTAGATTATGAACCAGTATGGTTGCCTGTATTTAAATCTTATAAAAAAAGAGATCTCATCTCTTATGTTCAGGTTGAACGTCAGTGTCAAAGTGACAGATTGTTGGCAAAATATTACTGAAAATCCAAAACAGTGAGGTTTGATTTGTCTTGCTTTACACTGATTATATTTTGGAAACAATGACTCATGTTATCAAAGAGGCTTTCAAACTTTATTATTACAAATATTTTTGCATTAGGCTTCTGGCTGTCAAGATTTTCACTAGGAAAAGTGGACTGAAAAAGATTGGATTTTATTTACTTTACAAAAACCATGTGGTTGAGTTTTAATTGTTTTGTTATTTTTTTATTTTTCACTGTGTGTTGATTATTTTCAGTAAAAGCCATTAGAAACACATTGGTTTTTCACTGTATAACACCTTTGGTTTTTTTTTCTCTTGGTGCCTTACTCATTTTTCAGGTAGGATAAACAAACTACTAATAATATAATGAAAAGTATCTTCATAGAATAATTTTGTAATAAACATCTACTGATAGTACACACTCTTTTATATGACATGCTGGCTCTGTGTGCTCGTGTGGACAAGCGTGTCCCTGCTGTATGTGTACCCTCTGTGGGACCGTGTGCCCCAGCCCCTGCCTGCACCCCCGCCCTGCGCACAGCGGGGTGACCCCAGAGGGCAGTCCAACAAGCCCGAGCACGTTCGAAGACAGGAAGAGTCAAGCTCTTAATTATTACACTCTAATTACCAAGAACAAAACGGCCACACCAGGTGCTGGACAAAAGCACATTCCTAACCCACAAGTCAAACATCCTTACTTTAAATAAAAAAACCCACACCAGCAAATAATCCACAACCCCTGGATGGGAGATACTGGGATGGTTCAGTGCTGTGTACTATTTTGCGTTGTTTTCCATGGGTTTTTAAAAACAGCCTGCGGATGTGCTGTAGTCCGATAGCCAGGCAGGCCTGCCTCACGCCTCTTCCAGAACGCCCCTGCCTGGCATGTTCCTGACCCGGCACACTGACGGACATCACAATCGCACCCTTTCACACCCCTGCCCATTCTGCTGACATGGGAACTTCCCGCCTGTTTACCCCACAGACTGGGCTGCCTTCGCCCACGCCAGTCGTCGGGTCCCTCCATTCTATTCACAGCAGCCTTTCGTGACAGGAAGCCGTCCTCTTGAGCGCTCCGTGAGCGCCGTCAGGCTGCGCGCCACGACGACGTGTCATGAAGGCTTTTCACGAGCTCTCCAGGAGCACGCTGCTTGCGCTCGCTCCCAGAACAGCAGCAGCAGCAGCAGGACTGCGCCCCAGGGAGGAGGTCCCCAGTCGAAGAAAGAACTGCCACCGCGCAGGAGGAAACACTCTCTCACACGTGACTAGCCACAGCTCTTTCACCCCAGTGCCGCTGCTCTGGGTGAACAGAAAAACGGCCGTGCTTTCAGTACAGAGGAAGGACTCGAAATCAGAGCAGGCCACGCGGACTGCCTTCTTCATTTGGCTGCTGGTGGCCGATGGATTCGGGGGGCTCCTGACAGCTGAGGCATCCCCGCGACGCAGCGGTGTCCCACTGTCTGTTCAGCTCTACCGAAGCTGCGGCCGCACAAACACAAGCGGAGGAGATAAAAAGAGCAGCAGCCCTGGCCCTTCGAGTGGGGAGCAGCTCCAGGGACCCGCAGGTGACCCCCGCAGCGCCGTGCTCCTCGTGACCTCAGCGTTCTGGGCCTGCCCTGCTGCAGCCCGGCTTGAGGCCAGGTGTGGGGAGAATGAAACGCACTCCGGCAGGGGCGCAAGACACACTGTAACTCACAAGCTGGTGCTGCTGTCTGCTGCTGCACAGCATGAGCTCACGTGAATGGGGCTCATTACCAGTCAGAACACAGTTCCCGAATGCCAGGAACAGCAGACCACACAGACAGCAGTTTTGCAGGGGGCACTTTAGCATCTGCTATTGTTTGCTTCAGCGCAGGCTGCTCCGCGCCAGGCGCTGGGTTACTGCTGTGCTCTTCTGGGCTGTGCTCTCTTTTTCCATAAAACACCCTCAACGATCCCTCATGGCCAAGTCAAAGAAAGACCGATCTCCTCTTCAGTCCACACAACCTTCACAGGGTTCCACCAGTGGACATCATGAGAAGGAATAAACACAGCTAATTCACTGCTAATTTCTTTCTTTGCCCAGTATTTCCTTTCACTGCACAGATATACGTCTCCAAAGGAGAACCCAACTCGTTTAACTACTGCAATCCTCTCTGGGCTCCGAGCCTCTGCTTCGCCTTCCTGGCAGACAGCCTCCTTGAACTAAAAAACAAACCCAGCTGGAAGCCATTAAGCAGGATGATCTTCGTTATAAGAATGTTTCAAAAACCACCCGAAGAACAAAACAAAAACCTCACATAAGCATTATGAAAACTTTAGAGATTTTTCCCACTAGTTTATGAACAACTTCATTGAAGGTTCTTATATTCAAACTTGAACTTTATTGCCATATGAAACTGGTAATGTACTGGAACAATGGAATTCTTACTTACAAAAATCTCTTGGTTGTTAAAACAAGTGTAAAAACACAAAGTGCAGACAGTGCATCAAGACAATATACAAACAAACAGCAGACAATGTACAAGTAAACAGTTGAATGTAAACAATGACTGGAGATGTGCAATAAATAAGAAATCATAATCATTAAACTTCATGGTCAGTTTTCGTTTGCAGTGGAAGAATAAAAGCGTCTTTTCTGGCCATATGGAAGGAAGTGTCTTTTTAGACTGAGCTCATCAGAGAGGAGGCCTGTTAACACATCACTGACTCCAAAGAAAGACCTCGTCAAACAGTGACTAAGGGAAAAAACACTTCACTATCACATTTGTATGAATGTGCGAGGGCTTTAAAATATATATTAGTCTTCAATGTTCACTGCAAAAATTAAGACAGCCCAGAAGAAGTAGAATTTTGATCTTTTTAACTGCAGAATTTTTGGATACCGGCCAGTGAAGAGCCCTGTTGAGGTGGAGGAGAAGCTAGCGAAAGAAGAGACCCCACGCCCCCTCCCCCGAGTGTGTACATCACCGAGGGAATGGCTCACAAAGGATTCCAGTCTCCGGCGGTGCTGTAACACAATAGAGCCAGCACACTCTGCATGGCCGAGAGACATCCGAGACACAATGGCCACCAGGTGAGGCATCAATGTTTTAACTGCCTTTGCTTCCAGTGAACCAGAACAACGAGCTTCGACAACGAAGCCAGTAGCTGACTCCCCCGAGGCTCCACTGGCGGCCCACACAGCCATGTCTCGTGCGACGTGTGACGTGTGGTGACCCCTGGGAAATGTCCCAGCTCATCCCTGAGGACCACCAAAGAGGAGACGGATGCTCAGAGTGAGGAAAAAGGTCAAACATCTGGAGGGCTTCAATCCTAATGCTCCTCTGGACCTTGTCTTCAGGACCAAGAGATCATGACAGAATTCCACCAGCAAAGGAAGAGCTGCACGGCTGTGTGACGCCGAAAGCCTGCAGGGAGCTCCCGGAAGAGCTCCGCTGTGAGACTCCCTGCACGCCTCACTGCCGATGGGAATCAGACTAATGATGCAATCTAAACGTTCACAGATGGACACAGGTTTACAGTACCTAATCAGTGTAAAACCCACTTAGTGTGAGTACACATCGTGCGAAATTAAATAAGGATTTGCAGAACAAAAGAGTTACACACAAAAGCAAATATTGCATGGCCAGGCGCTGCTCTTTGCACTGTTTGCAGGCTTTGACTCTTCCTTGCCAACTGTTCCACTCCAGTCCCAGGCCTGTACTCTGTCACCTGGACTACTGGACCTCCCCCTCACCCAGAACCCTGCAGAATGCCCACTCTCTCCCCACCCTGGGGCGCCCCCGCCAGCTCCCTGCTGCGGTACCCCACTCTCTTCTGCTGCCGGCCCCCCCCACGTGCCTCCTGGAGAACTCCTTCACTCCCCACCCCCCGCCCCTCGGCCACCCACCCTGCAGACTTCGCAGTTGACTCTCAGGCAGGTAACGAACTCACCTGTCGCACTTATACACCCCAACCGCCTTGGGTACTGCCCTGCACCACCAGCATACCTGCAAACAGCCATGGACTGTTTCACACCCCAGTCCAGAACGCATTCGTTTCGCTTGCATGCAGCAGCTGCTCTGCATTTCCTAAACCAGCGTTACTGCACTTCCCTGTACCGTAGTTCTAGCATCCTTATTCCTATTTGTCATCATGCCTAATGTTCCCTTCTGTACCTGCAATGTATAAAAACTACAGAAACACTGCAAGTCGCCGATGAATAAAGTCAGCTTTATTGCCAAACCACAGCTTCGGGTTGTCGGGACTTTTTTGTGTTGTGACCGACGTAACAGATGGAAAAATAAAGAGACAGACAGAAGAAGAAAAAGGAAAATAAATAACACATATCATATACAATATACTACATGATGCTACACTACCGTGGAGACAGAATCTACAAACCAATAAATACTTTAATAAAAACTTTCAGAACAATGTTGAGTGGAGAGAGGGAACAGCCTCCGGACTGGTGATCTTTCGGAACCTCAGCTCCGTTCCGGATTGGATACATCTTATCCTTCTTCCCGAGGGAAGGAGCTCAGACAGGGGAGAGTCTGGGTGGGAGTGCTCACTGATTCATCTTCAGAGTTTTTCCTCTTAAACGTGTTGCGTATACGGAATTAATTTAGGAGCAGCTTGATTAGAGTGGTCCACACTGTTTCCTCTCCTGAGTGCCTAAGCTCCCAAACCAGACCGTGACACTAAAGGGTGAGATGCTCTCAACTGCTGGCCTGTGCAAACGGACCATGGCTTCCTGAGACACTTTGGGTCTTCTTCGCTGTCTGGTGTACACTGCTGTCCCAGGTCGAGGTGAAGGAGACTATTGTGCCAGGAAGCTTAAAGATGTTCACCTTCTCTACTGCCTGCCCATCAATCACAAGAAGTCATACTTCACTCCTGTCACATCTGATACCAAAGATTACCTCTTAGGTTTTACTAACACTGGCCCGGGGATCGTTTTGACTAAGAATATCCGCTAACCAAATCAGTACCATTTCCACATCTACCAGCCAGCGACAGAACCCCAGATCCAGCACTCAGCAGTGCAGACAGGAAGCCTTGGGCAGTCCAGACCTGTAATTAAATGGCAGGTTGAAAGTCTGACATGTTCCAGGCAGCAGGTCTCTTATCGCCCTCACACTGGCTCTCACACTGCAGAGAGCTGCACGCGTAGCATTCAGCTCTGCGATGGACTCTGTCCACGAGCAGCAGTATACGTGCTTATTTCTAGGAGCTGCCAAGAACTTTAGGCACGTCTGACACACGACCCAGAGCTGGAAACTGATCCTGGAAAATCTTCTGACCCCTAGGTGTGTCAGGGGATGGGCTTGATACTCAGTGCCGATTGGTTCTGAGCTCTTAATCCACTATTAAGCATGCACACCTCTGGCCAGTGCTGAGCTGTGATCTGAACATGTTGAAGGAGAGGCCCAAGGCTCACAGAAATGAGCAGGAAACCAGTTAATAGTGAATCGCTCCAGGGAATAATCTATGCCATAGTACTCAGTATTACGTGCCGTCACTTACAGTTGACCTTACTACTTGGAGAACTCCTGGATCTTTGACTCTGCATTTCCAATGTAACTACTTACTCCAGGAGAAAATCACATTTAACTGATATGCTTATAATCTATTAATTCTTCATTCCTAAAATACTTCCTGTAATGTGTATATTCCCTTAATGAATGAATGCTCACTTAATACAAGTATAAATTTCATTATATGAAGACCCAGAAATGCAGTTATTTTTATATTAGAATGGATGTTTGCCACTCTGCAAGCATAGAGCAAGTGAACAAACATGTCTAGAGTCAATAAGAGGGGTTTCTGTTAGTCTTTGCAAAGCATGCTACAATGCCATATGCATCCAGTTAATCAGGTGAAAAATTTGGCGACTGAATTCTGCTGTCAAAATGGTGTTACAATAAGGCACACAACTGGAGACACAAGGCTGTTTCCCACATGAAAATAACAAAAAACGGCTTATCCTCACAAGCCCTCTCCCCTGCGGCGCACACATTCCCAGGGCCTGCAGCCTGGGCTCAGTCCGACAGAGAACCCCGCGTGGACACACTCCGCAGAGCCCTGGAGCCTGTCCACTCCTGCGGAAACCTCCGCCTTCATCCGCTGTTTCAACTGCAACTGGCCAGTGGACACACACCACACCAGACTTCAGACAAACCGCCTCATTTCTGTGAAGACAAGCTTTCCTCTTTGCTCATACTAAGGGGTGACAGTACAAGGGCTGAGCCCCACCTGCCCCTGCTACATGTCTGTCTGCCCCCCACGCTTGAAAGGAGTATGTTTCATGAAGGAATTTCTCTTGCTTAAATCGCATATAAAACCAGGCCATGCAATTCCTGGTGTCGGGACGCAGCTGCCAAGAGAATTGAAAATTTAAAAAGGATCGTTCCACTCCACCCAAAAAGGGGGTATTTTGAGACCTGACCACCACAGGCTTGTCGGAAACCTTTCCAGCACAGACAAGTTCAGGCATGCCAATTTATTTGAAGAGGACGTCCCTTTGGGCTGCTTATAGGGAAAAAGTAACCCTGACTTCAGAAGACACGTCCGTCACGCGTATGAAAGAAAACAAGATTGTGAGGAAAGTTACAAACCACAGGAGGCCAGTTGGTCTAGCTAGCTCATTCGGAAGATGGTAGCTTATTGGACCGAGGATCTCGAGCAGCTGTAACCTGAATACGCCACAGTGTCAAGTGCTCTAAACGCACTGGGTGTTTCCACTAGGGCCTCTGGTTTGTGTTTCACAGAGACAAGTCCTGTTTCCAATTCTAACCCCTTCAGGCTTGAATCCCTTGCATTAGGAATTTGTCTTGTCACAGACCCCAACTTGCTCTGCATGAGACACAGGCAGGGAGAGAGAAGCTTGGGGTCCGAGCACAGCCATGGTCAGCCATTTATACAGCGCCCCTGGAGCAGCTGGGGTTCAGGGCCTTGCTCAGGGGCCCAACGGAATAGGATTCCTCTGCCGGCTGCGGGATACGAACCGGCAACCTTCCAGACACAGGAGCAGACCCTTAACCACAGTGCCACCTCTCCGCCCTCTTCGACACGCTCCAGCTTGTGGCGTGACTTTCCCTTCGGGCCGCACAGGGTAGGTCATTCATCGCCACGGGCGGAACGCCTCACGACAGACGCAGGTCGCAGATCAGAGCTGCTGCCTCACGTCACCCCCGGCATGAGTCTGCTCCAGATCACACGCCGTGCGGAATCTATTCGCTTTCTCTGTGCAGACTCAATAGCGGTGAGGCTGGTTCTATTTTAAGCAAAGCTTAAGGCTGATGCGGTGATTTAGATTAGTCTTGGGTTCCTTTAAATTCAGACACTTATGAGGAAGCTGATTTGTGGCAGCAGATGCCGAATCGTTACATTTCACACCAAGCTAGAACAACAATCCCTGGAGTTCAGGCGATTCACCGAAACATGCTAATGCGTTCATACGTTCCTGCAAAATTTCAGCTTCAGGGCGTTTAAAACTGTTCAGAAATGAGTGTAATGTGGTCTTGACAACTATAAACACACTGTCCCCAAACAAAACGACAGCTGACGTGAAACAGGTTCAAATAAGCATTTGTTTTTGAGTCTGGCTTCTGAGCCTGTATCACTGGAGTGCGGTAAACTGTACTGGCGAGACCGCTCAAGCAGTAGGCTGTGCAGGAAGACTGCAGTTGTCATAGAAAATATTTATATGGTTACATATGTTATTAAATGAAAAACTGACGCCATAACCCTGAATTCAAGATTAAGCGTAGTTTCTTGGTAGCTCAGTATCGTCTTGAACATAAATGAGTTTCAGTTCATTTAGTCTCTATCATAACGGCTAATGACGCGATAAATAACACACAAATAAACACATTAGAATATTGATAGACAACTGATTAATTAGAACAACCAAAAGCTGTTGCTTATTTGGAAGTATTCCTACTTACCGAAATCCAGGAATTGCTTTATGGACAGCGGAGAGGGGGAAAATCTTGAATAATATTCTATCTGCTTCGGAGTGCTGTTTTTCAGGAGAAGTCGAAACAGCCTCATAATTGAATGTTGTTTTCACTGATGATGCCTCCAGTAAAACTGCATGGATGTAGTGATGGGAATAAATCGGGGGAAATTCAATCAAAACGAACAGCCGGCGATGTCATCAGGCCGTGCTCCTTCTTGCTAGCCGGTGCTATACCAGATTGTCTAAAAACTTCGTTATTGCTACATTTGATGCCCTCTAGGCAGTCTTCTGCGATACATTGTGGCATTAAACGGCACGTACACCAAGTTCCGGTCAACCATCCTTGAGAACATATCGTCCTGCCCCTAGACCATTTCTAATTGGTCCTTAGCTGCAACGCGGAAAAGTATAATTTCGTTCTATTGGACCAGCTAGGTGTCGCTCACACCATTCTGGGTGGGCTGCTCGGGTCTTCCGCAGGGGTTAGTGTGACTGATGCTATTTCGAAAGTACTGGTGTCACAGTTGCACGCTGTGAAGGGGCTACGCAGGCTGGGGGGCTGCGTCCGTCTTACTGGCGTTTCCATCCGGACGACACGTGTGAATAGCTCAATACAACCACGCCAGGGAAGCACTGATTGCAAACCCCAAAGGCCCTTTCTTTCTTCGTGGAACAGAGCTCGCTATTTCTCCAAGCAGCTCCCTGTCCACAGGTGGACAGACTGCACTGCCACATAATTCGCCGCCCCCGGTATATTTCACTTAGGCTTGTAGGCTGCAAAAGGTGTGTCACAAAGCTGGGGTTAGGCTGCTCAAGGTGTGCGTAACGTTCTGGCAGCCCTGACTGCATCTTGCGCGGAAATGGAGTAAAACCGAAATCACGATCCCACCGCCGGTGTCCCCCTTCGACACCGGCTGAAGCGGCGCTCCGGTACGTGTTGCGGCTCATGTTGTGAGTAAGCTGAATCTAATCCTCAGAATTAACTCATTAAGCGCCCAACCAAGGCTCTGCTCTTTCAAGTCACGACCCTGCAAAAGACGCATCTACTGTAAAGGCGAAGCCCAGGAGGAGGCTAATGAGAACGGCGGATTTACAGGGAAGCAAAATCTCATCTCAACAAAGCCCAGTCATGCAAAATCCAAACACATGAAAGGGTCCCAACTGAAATTTTCTAACAATGACTGATCCACAGTGTGGAGGGGCCTTCCAGCTAACACAAACCACAGAAATCCCCCCCTTTGTTTTCCAGACAAACTGAACCAGTTTTACTGTAGATTTGATAAGCAAACAAAATTCTTAACAATAGTTCATGCAATCTGTTGCTATGTCCTTTATTCTCCAGTACCTCACAACCCCCCTGGCTCCCCCCTGCCCCCTCTCCCTGCAGGCAGCAGAACACGCTGGATCTTCTCTCCCCTTGGTAAAGAGCAGGAAGTCCCTTAAGCTCTTTGCCAGCCCAAACTGCAGGAAGGCGTCTGGTCCTGGTTTGGTTTCTCCAGCCACTGAAGCACTGTGCTGCTCAGCTCTCCCCAGAGTTCACAGACAGATTCCAGCTGTCCCTGGGTCAGTGTGGGCCCTACCTGCTTCAGCCCCTCTGCTATCATCCCTGCTCCCAAGAAGGATAATGCAACCTGACTATTGCCCCTTTGGGCATATACTCTCTATAGACCAGTTGCACTTTCTTCTGTCAATGAAAACCTTTGAGAGCCGCATACTCAGATCCCTCAAAACTATCACAGATTCAATACTGAGCCAATAAGCCAGTGGATGATGCTGTTAGTGTTTGCCTCCACTACATACTACATACAGCATCTGGAATCTCCAGGAACATATGTCAGACTCCTACTTGTTGATTTTAGCTCTCCATTCAAGACCATCATCCCAGAAGCCCTCCGCAAAAAAGTGACTCATTTGAATGTTCTCCTCCCCACCTGCCAGTGGACACAAGGGAAGGCAATGAGTGCAGATTGGCTGTGATCTGTCAGACTGCGTATCTGTGAGCACTGGTGCACCTCAAGCCTCTGTTGTCTCCCCATGACTGTGCCCTCTGTATCCCAAGGACTGTACCTCCAACGGCCCCTCTGTCACACTGCTGGTGGGTCTGACGAGAACAGGCACAGACAGCCAGCGGATCGTCTGGCGGCAGGGCGTGTCAACAGCGCCCTTCAGCTCAACGGTCTCAGAACCGAAGAAATGTTAATTTGATTTTCTGAAAAACCCCTAGAAATGGTCAAGGTCGCAGTGGGTATGGTGGAGTCTTTCAAGTTCCTAGGAATAACCACCTCCAACACCTCCTGTATAAACTCAGACTAAAGAATCGAGCAGAAAACTCCCCTTGTCCAGGACACCACCTGTTTAATTAACCTTGGGGAGACGCTACCAGCCGATCGAAACCAACGCTGCTGGGCACCTGAACAGCTTCTTCCCTGTGGCCGTCCCCCTGGATACGAGACCCACTGCGTCAGGAACTGTGGTCCTCTGTGCACGTTCTTGGTGTGAAGTGTATTTGTATTATCGATTGTTTCTATCTGTGTTTTGGCACAACGACACAAGATCAAATTCCTTGTACATGTAACATATTTGGCAAAGAAAGTGATTCTGACTCTGGTTTATATATAGTATTGCATTTGGATAGGGGGTAGAAAGATCGCAACCCTATAAAATACCTTTAGCATCTGCATTGCGGTTTTACCGCAGAGCTGATTTTCGTTTTTTTTGGGAAATGATATTGTGTTTATTGTTAATCGCAGGTTTTGCTTTTAAAGCGAGCTGCGTGCTGGATTTGCTGTAAGACAGCATTTACACAGAAGATGGATACCTTACGCCACCTAATGGGAAGCAGCCAGTACTGAGCGTTAAATGACAGCAAAGATCATAGTACTGTATGTGGGTGCATTCGAAAAAATCCAAGACAGTGGGGGTTGTTATTTTTAACAAAAAAAATGATGTGTATAAATATTTATACCGCTGCAGTTATAAACATTGAACATTAGGTTACTTGCTAAGAAAGAGCCAAATATCCCTAGTTCTCATGGTCTGGATCTAGGTGCGAAGCATTCAGCGTTCCAAAAAAAGATAGGCCAGATCTATCAGGATGGACCTGGGAACAATCCCAAATCCGTGGGAACTTTCGGGAATCAGGGATTGAACAATGGAAGCCCAGAATAGAAAGTATTCCTGAAAAGCATATGATCTTTGGCCCAGTTCCTGTTCTCTGAAATCCAGTTCCTTGACACAGTGCTGAGTGAATGACACGATTTTATTATCATATACCACTGAAACTTGTAAATTGGCACATTGTTGCAGGATATGGATTTTATTAATCAAACCTCTTTATCTAAAGAGCACAATACACATCTTTTAATGAAACAGCAGCCAAGAACAGTTTTCATATCACAGGCAGTTTCAATTGTCCAGGAATATAATATTTAGTTTATACAGTAATTATAGTATACTGTATACATTTACATAGCAACTATTGTGCTTAAAATAAGATAAAATATTTAATAATATATTTTAGTCCAAAAACTGCCAATTAATGGATGTTATATCTTTCTTCAGAAAGCACTCACACACCAAATAAATTCAACCGTTTATTAGCTCACACAACAACTGATATCTTGTAATCCCAGAACGCTCTCTCTGGAATTCTGATTCCACAAGTTTGCACTGGGAGGACTGCTCATTTTCTCACCTTAATCTCACCTCTTTACTTCGAAACTAAAAGCGTACTGCAAAGTCAAGGACACGACTCATTACAAAATATATATACTTCATATTTGTTATTGTTTGCCTGTTGGTACATCAATTAAGATATTAGGTATTATAAAAATACCCCTTTCTATTTCTTTTTTTTCTATTTATATGCACTTTTGTTTAAAAAACAAACCGATATAAACACACAATGGAAGATGGCATCATATGACAAAGAGCTTTAACAAGATGATGAAGATAATGATGACGGTGTCCATATCTTCTGAGCACAGAGTCTTGTATTATTCTGCAGCCTGACTCCTTTCTGAACCTCAGGCAGCCCTGGTGACTGTGCTGAAAATCCCAGACCAATCACCCTCAATAACTAGTGTTTTAATTCCTCCTCTCTAAATGGGTTCACCACCAGCCTGAGCCACAGGACACTTCGGAAATCTACCTCACCTTCATGAAGGCCCAGAGTCAGACTCTTCGGCTCATGCGCTAATCACTGTTACAGGCCCAGTCCACCACGGTGAGTTTCCACTGAACAGAAGAAAGACACGTCTGTCCAAAGAAAAGCTGAGCTGGCAGTTTGTCCTGATTGAGTCTGAGCCAGTAATTGTGCACACTGCAGACTGAACACATGGCAACACAGCGCTAGTGGCATCACCTCTGACAACACCCGGAAAGACTGAGACATGCAAATAAAAGCAGATACAAAGAAAAACAAAAAGGCACAAAGCAGAAAATATAACTAGAACAAAACACACCTAAGAATTTGGATAAAACCAGACAAGACTGAGATGTTCTCCAGTTCGTGAATTTTATTCACCATTTGACTATGGAATTCTACTCGCACAATTTCACCATTGTGACCGGTTTGTCAAGAACACAAACAATATCCCTGTTTTTTTGTATTCTTTGTTTTGTCCTCATCTGTTCTGGCAATAAACAGCAAAAATGAAAAATTAAATACATTCAAAATACTTCAATACAGACTTTATTTTTTTTAGAATATTTTTCACTAACCCTTTGTTCATATCCTATGCTGTGCGATTTGTACTGGACTTACTATTCTATGAAAAGGTGCTCCAGTGTAAGTGTCCTAGCTCAGGGAGCTGGAATGTACATAAAGAAATACCTGCAGTGTTACATTTAGATAACAAGGCCAGCTTCAGGTTCCATTTTTATTTCAAGCAAACTGATTCTTGGGTTTATATTTTGGCTTTCTGTTTTTCTTTTTTTTTCAGTCCACACATTAAGCAGAATGATCTGATAACCATATCAGATACAATTTAAAGCAACTTTTATTTTTTTAACTCCAGTTCCTCTCTTTGATAAACTTGATAAACTTCAATGTGATCGTTTTTTTTAGTTTTGGATGTACTTTTTTGTTTACTTTAAGTTAATAAAAACAGGATGTATAAAAGCTTCCAACTACTATACAGTAATAAGAATTAAAGTTGTAGAATTTGTGTTAAAATGATACATGAGCAATTGTTGCTGTGTTTGCACCTCTGTGACATCCAGACTGAAACCTGGTTGTTCTGCTGCTCACTGTCTGTTTTCTCCTGTCGGCACTAGTGTGGGAGATCAATGACAGTGAGGGTGAGGTGGGTTTAGGAAAGACAATGTGAAATAATTCAGAATTTTTCTGTAATACGCAAGAAAATGAATGAATGCAAATGCATCTTTCACTGCTGACTGTGCAATACGCTCAGAGCATGAAAAGCAATGTTTTCAAAAGGGCAGTGTAAGCTGTACCTAAAGGTAGAGTCCAAGAGGATGTTCATTTTTGTTGTGAAGATTCCAGCGACTGTATTGTTAAATTTAAACTTGATATTTTAAGAAAAGTGTCCTGTTGTGGCCTTTTTACACTGGCTCACCTAGGCTGGGGCCAGACCAGCCCTCACAGTGAAGCTCACTGTTGACAACACACAACACACCGCACCACACCACACCACAACATAACACAACACTGTACTGCTGAGCTGAAACCAAATCGTGACATCAGTGCTCACGATGTGCCTGGTACCCATATCTGGTACTGGTGCAGGTCAGGGTCCGAGCTCAACGAGACTGTCTGTCACAACCACTTTAATAAGAGAAGATACTGGGATCTTTCCTTGAGTGATCTCCAGCTGAAGATCATTGGCAAAAAAGGCTTTCTTGAGCAGGATAGCGGGTTCAGAGATGACCTTCTGGTGATATGATATCAAGTTTAAACTTAATAAGTAAAAAAAAAATCTTAAGGAGCTTGAAGATCAAGAACCAGAATATTAGGTGGTATGGATTGTATATTGTGGACTTGCTAGTGTAGCCTATTGATCTGTGGCTTGTTCAATTTTGGTAATAAAAACTAACGACATCACCAGGAGACACTTGGAATTTTTAATTTGCCTTTTCTGTTGGACACGCTGAGATCTCAATCTGTAGAGAATGAAGCCTATGGAGGAACTGGCACAGCAATTAGAATGGGGCTTTAGTCTTGTGGCTGAGTAAGAAGAGTTTCTTCAGGAAGTCCTGAAACATAATATGCTAAATAAATAAACAGTCAAATACAATGTTAATACTGGGAACACTTTAAGATACTAAGGTAAACACATAATTTGTAATTCTAAAATCAGGGTTTTCATTAATACACACGGCATTACCTTTAGTCTTACTGTGAAGCCCACTTATACTGTATCATGCATTATGCAGGTGCTTAATGTGACTTTAATATACTAAGTATTTTGCAGAGCTATCACTGGGGAAGAAAACACAGACCTAGACTACCACTGTTGTGTTTTAGTACATTTCCTGTCATTCCTGGACTTTCCCATTCCTCTGCGTCAAACGCACATGGCTACCATGATACAGACTTGATTCTGGGCAGACCCCATGGTCTAGGAGCAGGGGGAATCTCAGACAAACCCCAACCTGATGGACTTTTTCCTCAGTTCAAGGTTTTTTTATAATGCTGTGTCCGCATGAGTGGACATTGATAGAGCGCTATTTTTTCAGCCCAGAAGGAGGCCGGTCACTCTGCGGAGAGGAGCTTACAAGTAAAAGAACTTCCACACCTGCTCCAAAGGCGTTTTGTCCTGAACTCCCACCGGAGGCAGAAGAAAAGCAGAAAGAATAAAACAACTAGGGCTGCAGAGTGAAAAATCACCTCTGTGGTGGCGATTCATTGATCACTGTCCTACAATACAATTGAGAATGCTACAGCTGTTCCAACCATAACGTTCTGAACCCATCTGGAACACGAACTTGAAAAACGTTCGGGGAACATTCTAGGGCTCTGCTTCCGTGACTAAAAGGATCGTTTTTGTAACGGCCTGGGAGCCGATATTAAATTGTTACCTGGGCTGAGCCATGTGAAGTGCTTTCTGTAATGGGAATATTCCAGATAGTACACGTGGACACAACTATCAAATAATGTGTATTCTGCAATGTGAATTACTGAAACCCCCCAATTAATGGCATGAAGAAGTAGTTAAGGTTTGGAAATTGCTTTGCGCTGGTAGACTTGCTTGCATGATGAGCATTTTCTGCACTAAGCCCTTTACTGGGTCCCACTCCTCCTCTTCTCACAGCTGGTGCGCTGCTGGCCTTCACCTGCACTCAGCCACAAGACTAAAACGCCCCTCTGTATCAGTTGCATGCCCCCACCAGCCTTTGCCTGCACTCTGACCGGCGTGGGCTCGGGTGGGCCGCTGTTGGAAGGCCGTGGCCTTGGCTCAGCAGCAGCAGGAGGAGGACTGCTGGAGGTGTTGGCTGGGGCTCTTTGTCTTGCAGGAATCCTGAATCCAACCCCCTCCCCTCGTGCTCTGGTGAGCTGTGCTGGTCCTGGGAGAAACACAGGGGAGGGGGTCACGCGCACACTGCGGACACCCAGCGCCGGCCTGCTCTCACACGCTCTGTACCCCATCTTCCCCGCAGCCCGCCTGCAGCAGGGTCTTGGCGTTGTCCTTGTTGTCCTCTTCGTGCTCATCTGTCTTGTCCAGGGGGTCGTACGCCCTCCTGTACAGCATCCTCGTCACCAGGGTGATGATGAACATCTCCATGATGAGCAGCTGCTGGTTCATAACTGAGGAGACACAAGGGCAGTGTACCCCAGTCAGTGCGGGGGTCTTCCCCGCGGCTCCCCCACAACCCCCCTGTGCGCTTGTGAGTGCGAGCAGCTCTTATCAGCGGCGGCCGCACTGTAGGAGCGGCCAGTGCACACGTCACCTTCAGCCACCCTGTCGCCGCTTTCCCTGACTTTGTGAACTTTGCTTTGACTTTACAATGCCGGTACAATCCCAGACAGCCATGCGCTGTCGCCTCATGACTCAGTGCTGTAGCCTCCCTGTCAAAGTGTCCCCGCAGAGCTCGCTTTCTGATGAAAAGCACAATGTTTGGTTCATGTTTGTTTTCAATACCTCATTTATATGACTGGCAACAAGTCATTTCCGTGAATATCTTTGTGAAACAAAGGAATGGTGTTTATCTGAAAAGGTGCAACCTGATAGGACTTGGCAAGGTTTTGTATAAACATGTGAATGGCTGAAGCTGGGCCTGTCTGAAGAGCAGGCTGCAGCAGAAGAACTGCATCCATGTTAATTTATGTCCTTATAATACTTGCAGACAGTTTTGTTTCTTTATTATAAAGCTATCTTTTCAGTGTTAAATTAATAAGCACCTTTGTTTCAGACAGCTTACAACACAGGGTGACGGACTGTTTTCACATTAGAATCACTGCTTGTTTCAGGCTTGACTTCACAGACACAAGCTGGAGGGGATGAGGACCTGCAGATGGGCTTCACCCCACTGCCAGTTCCGCAGGGCCTGACGGCTCAGACCGGCGTGTGTCTCTTGCTGACGTCACTGATGTGGCGAAATCACTGCGAGACTCTACTGTTCTGCCAGAGGCAGAGAGGGCCCTGGCACACTCACGCCCACTTAGGGCCCACTTAGGGCCCTGCTTATCCAGACCTCTGGTGGCAGAGGTGGCAGCTTGGGAAGCACCGGCTGCAGCTGGCTTTTGACATCACCTGCCAACATCTGGACCACATGCAGATGTCCAGTGTGGACCCAGGCGCGCGGGCGGGGACTCCTGGGAGTCCCCCACGGCCGTACCTGGAAGCGTGGTAACAAGGCGAGAGACATCAAAGTGAACTTACAGGTCCCCCGTGCTTGGGATGAAAATGGGGGCGCGCAGGCGATGGTGCCGCCCATGGCAAGGATGTTGATGATGGCAGATTGGAGCTGGCTTAGAATGAGCACCATCTGAGAAAATACGGAGCTTAACATCAGCCCAGGAAAACACAACCCCCACTAATCAGAGCCAGAACTGTTACGAGCAGCTGGACAGAGACTACTTCAAAGGTCTAAGAAACACAGGAACATAAGAAAGGTTATAAAACAAGTGGAGGCTATGAGCGGACTAATGGTCTAGAGTCATATATAGTAATCTACTCAAGTCTGCAGATGATACCACATTAGAGGGTTAGAAAACATTGTCAAAAATGAGATAAAATTCATGATTGGGTAGAAAAATTACAAAGGCCGTTTAAAGCAGACAATTGCAGAATATTGTGAAATATGAAATTCACGAAATGTGAGAGACTAATCTTGGGAGAACACATTTATGAAAGAGACTCATGTGCCTGTGCTGACACATCATTCACATCTTCTTGACAGTGTGAAGAAGGAAACGCGGTGTAAGATGAAAATATTGTCAATAGTGTTGAATTTAAATTGAGGAATGTTAAGTTAAAATTGTACAATATAGTAAGATTGCATTTAGAATATTATGTAAAATCTTGGTCCCCTTCTTATACTAAAGATATTAAAGTCCATTCAGAGAAGAGCAATGGGATCCATTCCAGGGAACTTGCCCTTCAGACTGACAGAAAAGACCATGAGGGGATCCGATTCAGACTCTGAAAATTGCACAAGGGCACTGACAACGAACGGCCTCTTCTCGTATGTAACCTTTGCTTTGTTTTTTGGAGTCTGGTTGACATTTCTGAAGCCTGAGAAGGAGGAGGAGGCAGGGAGAGCTCCTACCTGATACATGGCAAACTTTGGGATAATCTTCAGGCTGCGCAGCAACCCCTGGACATGTTTGAATATAATTGAAACGGGCCACAGAGCAATGATTGTGAGAATCCCAACAAAGGGATTTATCCATATAGCAGCACCGGTGATGGATAACTGCAAAAAATAAGAGCAATTTTTGTTATACAAATGCATAAACACTTTTGTATCTGACTGCCATGTGTTTGCTGAGAAAGTGCAAACTCCAGAATAAATATACAGTATATATATATGAAATAATGGCCAAGCGTCTGCAGATGAAACAGACAGGTTTCTTTTTCAATGACTACAACTGGTGCATGTTTAAAAATATACGGATATGAATTACACAGTTCTGTGAATAAACCTGAGACTTAAAGTGGTGCCTCTTTAATAAATGCAAACATACTGCAACTGTCTCTGTCTGCACGTGTGCCTGACACTTGTACACTGATCTTCTGAAGAGCAGCAGTGGATCTCCATACTGTAGCTGGGACCTTGCTTGGTACACAAAAGGGACGTGTTCTTACGTCGGCGAGATCGAAGTTCCCATTCGCCCAGAGCACTATGGAAAGGATGGTGAAGACTGTTTTCAGTAAAGCAAACTGGAAAGATCCTGCCTTCAATAAGAACAGGGTTCGTCTGTAAAATGATAAAAAAAAATGACAGCACTTTTAAGAAAAGAGGATTCCTGTAACCCTGGTCGGTCACTTACAGTACATTGACAGCCAAGGTCACCAGAGCAGATGATCCGTTAGAGAAGTACAAAGGTGTTGTGGCACTGAAATACTTTATGTGTAAAGAAAAAGGGAATCCCTGCTAGACAGAGGGGGTGTTGACGTCTTTGCACAGCTGAAGGACTGACATAATATTTCCCTACTTCCTTACCCCTTCAGCATTGCTCACGTCTATTACCACAAACACGTTCTGTTCTATAACACCCTGACTACTCCTGAAAAAGCTTTTGCTCTCCTTTTGCATCGAGCGCCAACCTGTTTTGCAGCCTTTGCTGGAGTGAACGTGACCCAGTGGTGAGATGTACAGTATGTGCTAAACGACAACAGCTGCGCCCTCTGGGATTAAAGTGCTGAAGAATTACGGACAATCACTGGCGGAGGCTCTTCTCTCAAGCTCATGGACTGCCGTCTGGTCCTCAATGACCAGCACGGGGCTGTTCTCCGAACTTCACTGCACGTCACCTGTCCACACCAGGTCTGCGCTCCCCTGACGGAACACGAGGTGCTCAGAGTGGCCAGAGTGACCTCAGTGCTGCCCCAGGCCCCAGGGACTCACCTGGAGATGCCCGCATACGGCAGGCAGGGACAGCAGCAGCAGCAGGGCCCCGTGCTGATCCTCAGGCGGTCTCTTCCGCAGCGCTTTAGGAAGGCCTCGTCGCCTCCGCACTCCTCGATCATCATCACGAGGAACATGTAGATAACGATGGCGAAGTACCTGCAAGCGCAACACGGGGGGGGCTCAGTGTCCTACTACTGCCTGCACTTGCTAGGAAAACACAACAGTAACTGGGGACAAATCTTTCTGCAGCAAGCACCACCTTTAATTGTAATGACATCAAGTGCCACGTTTATACACTAATAACCAAAACAGCACCTCGTTAAGGCAGATGGTTCCTGCAGCACCATGTGACTGTGTGCCGGGAGAGTTCAGCAATGTGTCAGACCACAGCAAGGAGTAAAGCAATTAACCCCACCAGCTCGTACAGCTCTGTCTCACGAACATGGCAGCACATAAAACACCAACGACGAGGGGAGGTTATTCATTTTGTGTCCTACTGCATAGTGATTATTATTAGCTTGTTCCATTGTGTCTCTTATTCTAAATCCTTTACTTAATTGCTCTTTAACTACTGAAGACCCTTGTGTACTGAGTTTAAAGGGTCACTGGGTTGACACTATTAATCCCGCTCAGAACTGGGGAAACTTCAGTCTGATATCTCTACAATCTGTTTCTTTCTGGGCCCAAGAGCCTTTTCTGGCTATTTAAATCACCTGTGTCAGTGTAATTCGTCTGCTCCAACAGCAGTTTAGTAAATCTGTATTTCATTCTATATCTGCTGCACATCTGGCCATCTTTGCTCTGTGCAACACATTCAGCATGTTGTGCAGCAAGCAGGAAATTAAACTATCAAACTTAATGCATGAATGTTATAAAGAACACATTTACAAAGATTGCATGTGCCTATTAGATGTTCAGACAGGAGTCTTGGGCTCTGTTTCAGAGGGAAAGGATGCGCTTGTAAGAGAGGTGACGCGCTGGGGCTCCTACAGTAGAACAGCCCCCGAGTGGTGTCTGATGACGAGCCCTTACGAGGCAGCTGTGAAGTCTGTGAACATGCTGGAGCGAGGGATCCACATGCCAACACAAGACGTGACGCCAATCACCTGAAAGACAGTATGAGAAATACTCATGCTAATAATTCCTTGCATTGACCAGGTATAGGACTGCTCACCCCAAAGGGTCTTTAGACACGAACCGCACAGGAAGGGACCCACTTCATCCCCACTGAAGAGCAGGTCAGGGGCAGGAGAGAGAAACTGCTGCACCAGACGGGTTGAGGGGGCACTCTAAACCCACAGACACTCCAACAGCACGGGTAGCAAAAGCGGCACCTACAGTAAGAGTTTCGGACAAACTCCCTATAACTGGCTATAACGTTGACTTCTTGTCATTTTCCATCACTCAGCTGCACCTGGTCCTCAGATGATTCATTCTTTCATCAGAGAACCCAGTGAGAAAGACAGGCTCAATGGCCTCTCGTTCAGTCCTTCTTGTGCTTTATGCCTGTAACAATGACATTCAGGATGGCCATAGGTGCAGTGGCTGTATAACTGTCTTTCCAGGCTAGTGAAAGTCGAATTGCTCTTTAAAAGCCAGGATAGGAATAATTCTGGCACCATCCAGTATAATTTGGTCAGTTCTATTCTTCGGCACATGGAAGGTCATTATGCAGTTTTGTTTAGATGTAAAAGGGAAATAACCACCAAATTCCTGTGTGATTAGTAAGTCCTTACTCACTTCTTTATTAATGGTTCTGACTCAAACTTTGACCAAACTATTTGTAATGTTATGCTCCCCAATCATAGATAAAATACTCCTTTAAGTTAGTGTACTAACATTCAGTTTGGAGGTTTAAATAATGTTAAAAAACAAACGTTTTACTTACAGGAGCTGCACCATTGACCCACATAATGGCCGATTTTTTTGGAGAGGGAACTTTCTTGTAGATGTAAACTGCTTCTTCCATGTATATGAGCACAGACAGCAGGGCCATCAGTGTGAGAACCGAATACAGGATAATCCCGAAGATGTCCAGGTCTGTGGGGGGGAGGAGGGATAAGACGGGTCAGGCTCTGCACGATGAGAACCTTCCACTGGGTAACAAACACAAGGGTCAATAAACTTGAATTTGCCTTCCGCCAAACACTTCTCCTGCAAAACACCAAATTAATCTTTCAGCCTGGAAATGAGTAGACCTCATTCTCCCTTGCCCTCCTGTTTCGAGTGCTACAACACTGTTTCTCAAGAGCAGCTGAAGGCTGATTCACACTCCCTTGCCTGTGCTCTCCACAGCGTTTCAGGGAACACAGAGTGCCGTCAATGCAGCTGTGCTCACACGCAGCGCTCCCTGACCGCAGGCAGGCTCCCGAGTCAGCCAGGAGCACGAGAGGGAGAAGCAGTACACTGCGGATGGCAGAGCCACGTGATCTTCGCAGGCCCATCCCCTCAGGATATTTTTTATTGTGTTCAGACAGTTTGCTTCTATTGAAAAACAAAATTCCATAACAGGATAACAAATACAAGAATAAAAAGAATTCACAGAACAAAAGCTGGTGTGTGGGGAACGTTCTGGCACACTATGGCTGCCGTCGCATCATCCAGGTGGATGCTACCTGGTGGAGGAGGGGATCCCCATTACCTGAAAAGCGCTTTGAGTGGAGTGTCTAGAAAAGCGCTATATAAGTGTAAGCAATTATTATTATTATTAAAAGAAATAAAAAAAACATCAAGTCCTAAATACAGATTGAATTAGATCTCAATACAGTCTTAACAAAGTGTGCATAAATAAAAGATGCATGAATAATTGAAACGTTACTGAAGTTGCTAAGACGCACAAGGATGATGTTTATGAGTGCTGTGAACCCACACTCGTCACTTAACTCACGCGGCAGACACAAACCCAGGGGAGACAGTCAGAATGAGCCTCTGCAGTTCGGCCCAGACTGTCCCTGGTGCAGGGAGGGACCTCGCTTTGGGACCTCAGCACCACGGAGCCCCGATCCTCCTGCCAGGCCCCTGGAGCAGAGCGGTTTAAGACCGATGCCGACAATCTACCTGCCTTGCTTGATTCAAGGAAATTCATTTGTAAGGTAATTTATATAAATGCTCCTTTACAGGCTGACCCACTGAACCACCAGTTTTAAAAGTGTAAAATCTCATGTGACCACATATTTGTTTTGTAATCTAATCCTTCTTTAATAGATTAACCCAGACATATTCCAACTGTATTGTATGAAACTGAACTATGAAAAACTCAAAAGAAACATTTGCCCCTCAAGCATAAATGACCATTGTCCTCACAGATAACAGAGTGATGTCCAGTGGGATCTGCAGCAGGAGAAAGTGGACTTTCCTTTAATTTCCCTCCCACCTTCCTTTATAACAGCAAAAACTCAGGTGTTCCAGGGAAGTCTGAAACAAATTCACATTTTTACATTGTGCCTTAAATATGTTATTGCATTTAGCTAGGTGTGAAGGAAGAGAGCTACCTTGTTTTCTTAGTTCTTCTTTGGTTAAAAAAAACTGGTAATGTGACCAAGTCAGTCAAATGAATGTGGAGACAGTGATTGAATAATGCACGTTTCTTCCTGCAAGTTGTCAAGTAGTTGTCAAACACGACAGAAGTTAATTACAAAAAGGGCATTAAGGGATTTTCACGCCTGCTGCCAATCGGAGTCCTCCACACACACGGTCTTGCCCCAGTCAAGCACCAGCTGGGGAAGTCCCTGCAGACGCCGCCGATCAGATCCGTTAACCAATCAGGAGAGCTCGCTGGTTACCACACCCTCCACATCCAGACACATTTAAACCCTCTCCTATTCTCACCTCATCGCATGGAATTGTTCCTTGCACTTCCTCTCTAATATAACTAGCGGTCTTGTATTCGGAACCTGTCCTCAACTCTCGTCGAGCGGTTTGGCTTTGGTCGTACCGATTACTTTCCCTGTTCGCATCTTTTCTGACCTGTGCCCAGAACTCTGCATAGGGTCCATGAACTGCATCAGCACCGCATGCCTTACAGGGATAAAGTGAGTGCATGTGCCGGAATAAGAAATGAGAGAATAAAGTATAAAAAGATAGAATTTGGGCTACATTTCGTATCCCAGAGATATGCTTTGAACTCCCCAGTTGCAAGCCTCACTAACCCACTGTGAGAGCTGACACCCCCAGCACAAGCCGAGCTGAGGAAACGAGAGACTCCTACATGAGGGAACTACAGGGACAGAAGGGAGACACACAAGGCAGAACACAGCCTGGGAGCACAATCACAGCACAATAACAGAGGGGAAAAAACAACGTAGAAAAATCCTCTAAACGGAAACGTTTTTTTAAAAAGTAGAATCTGTTTCCCACTCAGATCAACTCTCTTCATCTTAATTCCTACTGAGCCCAGGACAAGGCACAGAGTGGGTTCAGCAACATCCTGTTCAGCTGGTGAGTCTCCCGCTGAGCTCACTGACAGGGTTAGAGAGACAATCGTAACGTGCAGTGCAAGACGTGGAGAGACATCTCGGCATCTGAAACTGAAAACCTGCCCCTGGGGAGTGTTGAGAACTGTAGGGATTTGAAGATTACCTGTACTTTGATGAATCAGGCTCTTTTCCTGCCTTGGGCACCATGTACTGTATTGTTGTACAGACAACACCACATGACACACATTCCAAATTCGAAAATGCCGTTTTGTCTAATTCATAACATTCGGGGAGATACTGGCTACAGATTTCATGGAACGGAGACGGTGTTTTGATTCATTTATCTTGTATTTCAAGACGGAAATTAGTCAAGTTCTGAGGCATATCCCCCTTACGGCAGATATCCAGTCAGCAGATGACGAGATGGATAGCAGAGCGTGTTTTTTGGGATGCCCAGGTCTGCTCCCTCATTGTGCTCTCCTAACTGTCCACTCAGGGGCCCTGCACCACGAGGGGACAGTTGACAAGTGTTTGAATCCGTCTGTCATTTGAGCTGGCGCGAGCTCTGCTCCATGTGCCTCGTGGGAGAGTCCGTATCGACAAGAGAAGTGTCGCTTGCCCACGGTATTCCACACTTCCTGGAGATGCCGATGCTTCGCCAAGCCCTGCGATCAATGACGTGACCAGGGCTGCACTGTCAAAGTCTCGGCTACAGGTCTCAGCTGACTGGACAGGCTGTGACAACTCCCTGAATACCTTAATGAGTCTGAACACACAGCCAGCTGCCGTGAACCAAGAAAGTGCTCAGGAGGACTCATCTCCTGACGTGAGTTACTGAAGAGATCTGTGCGACTGGCTGTGGTCTTCATGCACCACGGTGGACCCATCTTTCCTATCATGCTCTATACATGTGGGCTTTCTAATCCTTCGTTTACTACTTGATTTGCATTTCAGGGGCAAATACATACTGTATGCTGGGAGATGTAATAGCTATGTGTGTGTCTACTTCATGAGCTTTTCCAGCCTAGTGTCATGGGGTTTGGCTGCAGTGAAGATGTGTATGTATGTTTTTCTCAATGTGCAGAAACATGTTATTCATAGATCATTTTCTTTCGCACTTCCTTCAGTATCTTTAACAGGTTAAGACAAGTGTGATGTTATTACTCAATACTGGTTCACAATGGCAATGCTGTAATGCTGTGAGACAAAGAGTTTTGGAAAAAAAATCTTTGAAAAAAAAATTTTTTGTCCAGAAAATCAAAAATGCTTTAAATGTGACGTGTCATTTTTAACCACATTTTGCTCTATTTAATCCTCTGCTTGTGGAGAAATGCAATTGTACTGTTGTGTTTTATTACATTTCTGAACCCTATAAAGTATAATAACCAGCCTCAAGCTGTCCAATTTAAAGGTTAATTATTAAACTAGCTATGACGAGTTTCCATCAGAACTTAGCAGTCGTACCTGATTTCTGAAGAAGCACACCAGTCAGTGTAAATAAGGTCATGGTCTGGTCTGGCTCGACTGAACGGAGAGAACATCTGTGAAATGCACAATCTGAGAAACTGTGTAAAATCAGCTAGATTTATGATATCAAATAACACTGGGAAAAATACCCCTCATGCACAGCACAGCCTGGAAATCAATGTAGCTCACAGCCAAATTGCCCTGGGTGTGTCTCTGGAATGAGTTTTCACCTGTTGGTTTCTCAACTATACAACTTGGTGCCATTGACACCGGTACTTTCTCTTTCTCCTGGAGTTTCTGCTCTTAGTTACACTCCTCAGGAGTGTCCAGCGGATTCACTGGTTAGCTCAAAGTGTATAGTGCAAACTACAAACATTGTCAGAGCTCACCTGCAAGTTACAAACTACGGATTTCTACATGAGATAAAAAATCACCCCAACCACAATCTGTTTTCCCCTTCTACCATCTGGAAATGGATACCGGAGCCTGCAGACAAAGACCAGCAGATTTCAAAACAGCTCTTTCCCACAGGCAATGAGACTGCTGAACAGCCAGCCACAGCAGCCACCAGCAATTACACAAACGACCGCCGACAGTCAGTCCACTGTGGTTTTTCTTCTTGCCTGCCTTTTTTTTTACTATTGTGTAATCTTGTCAATTGTTACTGTAGAATTTATTGCATTCTTCTTGTAACCTTCTATCTATTCTGTCCTTCAGTATCTCTCCTTGGCGAGCTTGCAGAAAGTGCATTTCACTGCCAACAACCACCGCTGTATGCTGTATGGTTGTGCATTGATAAATAAGCCTGGATTGATTGATTGAAATGTTTGTTTTGTGGAGGTGTTTTAAATCCAATGGACAATCTTAAACAATCTCCACAGGTCCTTGGAGCAATCAGAGGCTCAAATACAGTATGTAAGACAAGGGTGGTGATCAGAAATGTGGGATATTGATCAACTAGTCTGGATAAATACCAGGAAAAGTGGATTTATCCAGACTACCAGAAGACCAAGGGAGAAACAGAAGGCAAACAGCCCAAGGAAGTTCTGTGAAACTAAATGCTAAGTCCAGAAATCCCAGGATCTTTCGAAACATGATACTTGACAAGACAATAGAGAAGAAGTATTCATAATCCTCGAAGGCGCTGACACACTCTGACCAGACTGTTTCAGCATCAGCAGTAAAACACGGAGCAGAGGTTATCAGGGAAAACTACAGGGAAATGCATGGAGAACAGAGAACAGGAGGCACTTACGAGCAGATGAACAATTTTAAATCCTTGCACAAACAGTATTATACCATCTACTGCTTTGGATTAGTGAGGGAATCATACTCAGAGCTCGAGCCATGTTATCTTTAGAAGGCTATGTCAGCGCCTGGCCAGTACCAGGCTGGGAGATCTCTAAAACACACCCGGTTGCTGCTGTGAGTGGTGGTGCTGGTCCAGGAGGTGGGGGTCTACCCTCTGGACCAGAACTCCCAAATCCAGGGTGGCAATCCTGGGCGCTCTCCCATATGTGTCTGTCCTCTGGATGAGATGCAATGCCAAGTTCCTGACTACTTTGCTCCTTAACGGTCCCACAGCACTTTTGGAAAGAGTAAGGGTGTTGATCCCTGAGCTCTGGCTGGAGACCACTCTCTGCTTTTACAGTCGGCATCTTGATTCAACAGGTCAACAGTATCTCCTGTGTCTTGTGTCTGTGTCCTGGGGCTGCTGATGCAGAATGGCGTTGCAATGTCACCCACTCAGGGCTGATAACCTCCTATGAGCAAAGTGCTTTTGGACCCCTGAGGATGAGCATGAAAAGTGCTGGCACAAATGCAAGGACATATCATTTAATAATATATAATAAATATTATTATTATTATTGCGCTTAACTTTGTTGCCGTACAGGGAGCTCAAAGTGAGCAAGTGTCCAGCACAACAACTTCATCACGACCACCGTACTGGATTCTCCCGAGAGGCAGGTGGGCTCTGAAAGGCACAGGCAGCCCCTGCGGGCGAGCGCAGCCCGGGGGAGTCTGCTCTTCGCTATGACTGGTATGTTAATCCGCCACTCACACGCCAAGGAGAAACAACCCGTTACTGTGGTCGAGCGGCGTGCCAGCAGGGCACAGTCAACAGCTAAGAGCACAACTTGTGCAAGCTGCTCGGGCGGGCAGGAGAGTTTTAAAACAGCATCGCAAGAGGTGCAGAAACGGCAACACCCTGCTTTACACACTGATGTTTTCGAAGCACTGTAACAAACCACCACGCAAGTTATTGCTGCAGGGTCGCTACAAAACACGATCCTTTAACCGTGTTATCTTTTCATTTGAGCAGAAAAGGAAAACACTCCTGTAGATTTGTGTTGCTATTTCGCTATTACCAATGGAAACGCGGGCTTTAGTTTTGTTCGTACTACCGTCAACGATCTTGACGCATGAACAGAAATCTCGGCGTTTTACAAGGGCTGTTTAGAAATGCAGAGATCCGCCTGCCACTCACCCTTTATGATGTCGATGGCAACCGGCGGCTGCTGGAGACAGCTCGGGTCCGTGGCGTTTCCTAACCCATCCATGCCTGCGGCCCCTGGGCGGTGGAGACCAGTGAGGTGTCTGAGCGAGCTGTCGTCGCAGATCCGAGTGCTGGGCCGGGGCTCGGAGCGCCTCTGTGCTCTCTAGGTGCTCTCTGCAGCTAGAGTGCGCCGCCTGAATCAACTCTCTCCAGGTCCCCAAGAGCACAGCTAAGACCGCCTCCTCCGGGGGCACATCCCAAGAAATTCTTTCACGGGCATCAAACGGCTCCAAACCATTAAGCAAGCTGCTCACGCCCGCAGCAGACCGAAAGTTTTCGATTAAGAGATAACTCCTGCAGAGGTAAAGGAAACACAATGATGTCGGAACAATGAAATAAAAAAAAACCCGCTTCTAAATAGTCGCCTCTGATTTGGCTATCAAACTCATACAAGCGGCAGCACAGAAAATGAACAGGTTGATTTTGTATCTTAAGTATATATTTGGGACATTTTGAAACTAACTGCGCGTAATAGGGTAAAAAAAGCGGCTTAAAGCAGCCCTTCTGCGTTTAGGGCCAGCGGGCGATCTCCTCTCTCATGAAAGGAGACATTGAGCACTGCTCAGCATGTGATCTAGGGGAGATGACCGGGGTTGGAGATGTTTTAAGCCTATTTAACACACTCCTAACCAAACTCGTTGTTGACGGGAAAACAATATCCCCACTAAACACGGGCTTCAGAGCACCACTGCGACAGCGACCAGTGTTCCCCGCAGGTCGCCTCTGGAGCCGGGTCTTCACGGAAGGCGAACGGGCTGGGCGCCAGGGCTCGTCCGCAGCGCCTGTGAATAAACTCCCCCATTGTGCGCTTTCACAAGTCGCGGAAAAGGCGAAGAGTCCGGGAGCCGCGTCTAGCAGTTTTCGAACAGCAGCGCTCCCTCCTCTCTCCAGACAAACCTTGAGCCATGCCGGCCCTGTCCTCTGTCAAGGATGCCCTCGTCCAACAGCCTTGCGGCCTTTCATCTTTGAAACCACCAGCTGCCTTGAGGTGCCACAGGAGTGGTTATTAACACCCCTACACCCTCGGCCCCGAACCGGAGGCGCTCACCAGCGCCAAACACGCAGAGCCACGCAGATACTCCCGTGCCGTGAGCCGGTGATTCCTGACAGTTTGCCAGTTTAGATATGCGGCATACTGTCCACAATGTTGCTAAAATAAATATTATTATTTTATTTATTATTTTAAAAAAAGATCAAAGGTGATGAAAAGGCCCTAACTCAAATACATCTTGCATACATTTGCTCTCGAATTCCATGTAACAACATCAAACCCGAATACTTGTGCATAATAGCTGAGAACAGATCTCTGTTTTTAATTATCTGGAGGTGAGCGCCCAGCAGGAGGGGTGAACGATCAGTTAGTAGAGTGAGCAGGCTGATTTGCAGGATGATACCTGGCCTGGAAAGTGAAGATTGAAGACCTGACGTTCATGCAAGCAATTTGATACAGTTTATTTCAGGACAAACCTCTGGCATTCACAAGGGAATTGATCTATATGTCTTTTACAGAAACTGAGAGGACACCTGTCCAAAAAAACAGTCACAGCGTTTCTGTAGAGGATAAAACCTTTACTAGTAGGGACAGTGTAAACACTGTTAGGCATGGAAGCAAAAACACCTGTCCAAGTCTGGACAGTGAACGTCTCTGGAAGGCACAGCTATCCAGAGATATGGGCATTCTGCAGAATTTATGAAAAAAAAAACGTTTTGGAACAGAAGCACCTAAAACGACAACAAACAAAAAAAATTCAGCGCAGGTATTCCAAAGCGTTTCCCTCCAGCTGAGAGGCCAGGCTCAGCGCCGCCGCGGGGTGTGGAGATCAACAGAACTGAGGCCGTTCACCTCGGAGGCCTGCTGAACCGCCGGGCGGTCACCTCGCTCCCTCTCACCCCCCGGGAGTGCGTCACCAGGGAACTGCGACTGCACCCTTTCGACGCCACTGCGAGTCCAGGACGGTCACCTGTTTAACATGTGCCCTCAATAGGGTCAAAATAAAAAGTCGAAGGCTTAGAATAGCTCTTTTTTTTTTACTATTTGAAAATGTAACAAAACTAAACTACAGATACATTTTTGGACTTAATGCCAAGTGTGGCTCACTGACTGACCTCTAGCACAGCACTTTAACAAAAAAATGTCGTCTTGTGTGTATGGTTTGTTGTTTAAAACCATATTGTCATAGAGACGATCTCAGCCTAGCCTATCTTCTTTTCCATAATTTTACATGTAACAGATGTTAAGACTTATTGGGTACGATTTAACGCCTTTATTTCTGGGAAATGGCAATTTTCTAGTGCAGGGATACTGGCTCTGAAGAACTGTTGGTATAGTACTACCAACTGTCTACAGAAAACAACTTGTGTTCCCTTCAGGCACACCTGGTTGAATGCCATCAGGCCCTGAAAACTTCAGTGCCATTATTATTGAATCTAGAATTTTGCCTTTCCTCAGAAAGAGGAAACCAGCATGCTGTTGACGTATTCGTCAGTAAACAGCATCTCCTTGCTGTTCTTCAGGAAAGTAAAGCCCAGCTTTCACAGTCTGTTGAATACGGGAATGCGGGATAGTGAACAGCCCCAGAAGGGTACAGTCACGGAGAGCTGTGTGCCAAAGTCCGTGGCTTGTGGAGAGTGGCGGCAGCTTCAGTCTGCGCTGTTATCTGAACTGTGGTGCTGCTGTATGTGACATCACACGCCGGGAGAAAGGACTGGCTAATTCACCTTTAGCCCCTCTTTCTTGGAAGGCACACAGTATCAATTCACTATTTCACAAACACGGAAGGGGGGAGATCTCGCCAGGCGAGGATCTGGGCCAGTGATGAGCACGCGAGATGGGGCGGTTGGTGCCCGCGGAGCGGCCTGCAGGGCAACGACCCCTGTGTGAGTCACCCAGCCCTGCGGTCATGCCCCCACGCCCACAGGGACTGGGACTCCCGCCCGCAGACTGCAGCAGTTTCCCCCGATTCAGTTCAGCCTTTTATCTTTGGGTCTGTCAGGTCCCACCATTGAGAACGGACAAAAATGAAAAAAATAAATGGTAATTTCACAGAGTGTTACGCTTCCTGCGATTCTCACGCGTTGAAACTCTGTACAGTCCTGCTCAGCCTCTGAACAGGAGATCTCGGATCTTTCTGGCTGGGACACCTGCTCTCTAGACGCTGTAACCTCCAATTTAAACACTAAAACAGATTAAAATACGGAGTTAGTAGAATAATTCTAATTTAAACGGAAAAAAAAAATCTGAAATAAAATAGACCACTGGTAAATAACCTCAGTTTTGCTCTACATGTTTTCAGAAGACAAGTGTCCGAGATCTCCAAGGCTTACCCTGTCTCAAGGTTAAGTAAAATTCATCTGGCTCAAATTTCCGTTTCATTCTGTAAAGGTTTTGCAAACCTCTGCAAAGCAACCACAATTCTAAAGAAAAGTGGAAACATTTTATATCTGAAAAGAAAAATTACCAGTCATAGAGCCGGCATAGTAAATATTTCCAGGGATCCATTTGAATCATAGGTTTGGAGGTCTACAAACCACTGGGCGTAATGAAGCCCGTTGGGTAGGTAAGTAACCGGAGCGTGGCCCCCTGCGGTAGGAGGGGCGAAGCGGGGAGCCCTGGCTCTCTCCGGGCTGCGCTCCGCACACATGGTGAAGAACCACGGAGTCCAGGACTTAACTTTCCAGTGTTAGCGCCCAGGTTTGTCCTGCCCTGTGTGGCTCACTTTTCATGTTCGCAGCAGCCCGCCGCCGGGCAGCCCCAGGCTTCGCGGATTCGGGGCGCTGTTAGTCTGCTCCTGTCCTGCGTGACCCAGCGCGTAAGGACGGCGGGCCTTTGCAGCCAGCCGTGGTGGTCGAGAACAGCAACCAGCTCATTTGCACTGTTCTGCAAAAAGTGCGGAGGTCACGCAGAGCACAGCCTTTCACAGCGCCACCTGCTGGCAAGACCCTGGCTGCACCTCCGAGCGCAGAGCAGAGCGACGAGGAAGAAGCGCACACAGCGATTTAAAGCCGTGAGGAAGTCAAGACTGAAGTGGCAAACGTCCCTCCCTATGAAAACACAAGCAAGGAGTATTCCAGTCGTGCAGACCATTCAGAAATCTATAAAAAAAAAGTCAAGGAGGAGATCACAAATGTTTATTGTCACCTCTTCACATCCAATGTGTAGCCCAGTCACAAAACTTGAACAGGAAGGTGAATTACAGAAAATGTGCAGTGACCTTTTACTTGTGAACAACATGAAAAACGATCTGTCCTGGGGGGAAAGCAGACTACACACATGCGTATACATGCAAAACAAATGTTTTATTTTAAAAGCCTACAAAAAAAAGTAACATTTCCCATAACACTTGTATAATGGTCCAAGAGTATCTTGCTAGACAAACATCCATATGGCTTTAAGTTACATTTCAACAGCATATGAATAACTAAATCAAATACAAAATCACCTTTAAATCAGGTGATAATTTATATCAAAAAAGGAGTGCAGAAATTTGTAAAACAAATATGGCTATCTTGGAATACACGTACAAATTCCAATTTACATTTAATTTGCTTTGAAGCATAAGCAATATTGACTTATACTGACTGTATAAACTGTACAATAGAGAACATATACATTATGTACAATTTCTCTCCCAAATGATGTACTTTTTAAAAAAAAAGACAGCCCAGTCTTCCAGAATAAAAAAAAAAAGTCATAACAGCCCACTATATACGTTTAATAAAAATAGAGAAGAAATGGAGTGAGAGTTTGAAACTACACTGTTCAAAGAGAACCGCATAATGATTTAATACCAAAGTCAAGCCTTACCCAGGAAGTTATGCTAAAAACATTTTCTTGCCTTTTTTTTCCTCTGCGATGGGGTTTTTCTTTACTTAAAAGTACAAAACGCAGGACTTTCACAGCTCTCATGTTAAAAATAAAAACGACACTTATTCTGAGATACTGAACTGTGCTGTACCTGGATCTGTGACTGAAGGGTGACATTCATGTAGCGCATGATCACGAGACAGGACAAGTGACTGAAGTGTTTCCACCTGCACCAGGAAAACAAAGCTGGGGTCCCTTTAATGAACCATTCCCTTTTGCAAGTCCCTCTTAAAACAACTTAAAGAAGAAAAAAAAAAGACATTTAAATGTAATTCAACCTTCATTCCCATTAAGGTTTTTCCCTCCAACGCCTCTCCAGGACAAGATATGAGAAAACGCCTGCGGTTTTACTTCTTGTTTCACACTGGCCAGAGGACTTGCCGAGTCAGCGAGAGACTGGGAGCAGCTGTAGCTCAACAAGCTCCCCCAGCTTCAGTAAGAATGACAAGAGAACAGGCGACCACAGGCGAGTGACTAGAAGTACCCAGTAGTGTTTGTAACTTTGTGCGTCACCAGCTCGCTCCCAGCCTGACAGCCAGCCAGCAACACTGAGCCCAAAGCCAGGTGCCATGAAGTGTTGAAATCGTAGTGCAAAAGGAGTGTGCAAACTGTAGGAGAACACATGTAAACAGAATACTGAGATGTTTTAAGTTCAGCCCTTTTTTTTTTTTTACAGAAACAGACACTAACAAACCCTTACAATGCACCAGTTAAGAATGCGTTTTAGTCTGTCCAAAAAAACGTTTCATTTAAGGGGAAGGGGGACTAAGAGAAAGTACATGACAGCACAAGATCATTTCCCCAAGGCCTCCCGGCACTTCACCGACTCCACTTGTCCATTTGGTTTTGAAACAGACGTGAACATATTATGGCACGACTTTAAAGATACCCAAAAAAGCAGCCTTTAAAAGCGCTGGGGTTTGCAAGCCAGTCGGGTATGGCTTTTCACAATAAGCAGACTGTAAAAACAAATATGCCATTGATGTTAAAACAGTTATTTCCGATGCGAAATAAAAAAACCGTGTGAAGCACAATCCCCCCCGGTAGCTTCATAATTTCCTTATAAATGTTACTCATTTACTCCATGTTACTGGACTTGATGTGCAGCTCAAGAGGCCAGCCAGGTTTCCCCAATATCGAAAAAAATTACATTCACTGTGGTGTTTAAGGACGTTTAGTGTTATCCGAGCCCTTTCCAACAGCCTTTAGGCCGCCGCCGACACACACTGCACACGCTACGAGGACACCGTGTGGACAGGACGGTTACTGCACCTGGCTGTAACCTGCACTCCTGTAAACCGTAAGAGCCAATACTTCTCGCTTAGTGCTCTAAAACCAACTACCGGTGTCCAACCGAAGGCACGTTCCAGCTTTAAATAATGATGTTTGTTAGCTGTGAACAGTTTGTTATGTCTAAATGCATCTTCTAAATAGAACATCTATAAGGCAATAGAGAAAAAAAAGAGACGATATTCTTAATAATTGGGTTTATCGCAAATAAATAAAATTGCAAAATATGATCTTTTGAATGTAGTTTAGGAGTGTTTTGAAATGGACTGGCAACTTCAAATATCCAAAGACAGTTGGGATCCAAGATTTGGAACGTCCTTTTCTGTTACAGTACTTAAAGGACAAAATCGATAATGCAAGACGATCCACTTTTTTTGTCTGCAATCTAATTAGCTGTACCAAGAAAATGTATTAACAGTCCAAACACTGACAGAACACAGTGCCTGTGCTTGCATCCTTAAATGTAATTCCTTAAAGAACCTAATGACTGCCTGTAAAAACAACAGTGGTATAAAACTGATATAAAAGCCTCCAGATATTTTAGATTGAGATGTAGCACCAGACTCAGTCAAGACTTGAGACTCCTAGTTTAGCACGTGGACATCTTCCAATTAGCAATTAACCTAATTTAACATCCTGAGCTCTGGCACATAGTTGTTTTTAGTATATACTGAGCACCGATGACTCTTACAGAAACACTGTAATAAAAATAAAAAACAGGGTTAAAAAACAAAAACATTTGGCCTAGTGCAATACACTTTCCCATTATTTTTGGCGTTAAAACAGGATTCTTCCAATACTCCCAGAGAAAATGTGCAACAGACACTTAAAAACCATTGATCCTTCTCCTGCCCTCTCCAGCAAGCGACAAAGATGACAAACCAGGTGGACGCCAGCAACACGCTTACCGAAGAGGACATTATTTTCTAAAAACACAACTGCGATGCGCTCTGAGGTCTGCGTTCCTGTCCGTGATAAGGGTGTCAGCGTGGAGCTTAAGGCATCTGGCCTGACGGCTCGGCTCTCGTTCAAGTCTCGTTTCTCTCTCCGGCGTCTCTTGTCATCCTGGAACTCACTCTTCAGACTGCAGCTTCTCTCTTCTGCCCAGAGAAGGGAACATTAGCTATTTTTGGGGGGTATGGAGTATAATCATAGTCACAATAATAGACCTCACTCCTGACAATCACTTTCAAGCAGAAGAGCTCCTCAGGCCCTCGTCCCCGAGCTCACTCACAGGGAGGTCAGTTCTGGCCTGGTGCGACATCTGCTGTAGAGCCTGGAGACCAGCAGAGCTCCTCACAATTTAACCCATTTTAACAAATCATTCACTAATTAGAACTTCTGGATATGAGATCCGCAACCGGAAAAGATTTTAAGTTTCCCGGACTTGAAGACGGCAACATTTAAGGATTTTTGGCGCAGAAAACAGACCGGTGGACTTAATGACACCGGTTAAGGAAGCCGGTCAGCCGGTCTGGCCTCTGTCATGCCCATCAAGACAGCCACTGGAGAGCCCTGCTTCCCCACAGCGCCCCCAGCTCATCTTACCCCGTTAGGACTCGCTCTCCATCAACACCGAGGCGCCCTGTCCTCCAGCTGAAAAGCACAAAAGCATTGAGAAAGTTCAGAACGGTGAGTTTAACTGCTGCCCGTCAGCTACATGCACTCTGGAAATTCTTTCGGAAAGCACTTTTACAAAACATCCTGTGCCCCGACCCCTCTCCTCCCCCAGCGTCTTCCCGACAGACTGCGGACGCACAGGAGGAAATCCTGTTCCCAGGAAGCCTGTCCAGCCTGAGCGGACGTTTCCCGCACAGTCACCGGAGGAAGACCGACGCCCGATCCCTCCCTCATGCGGACAGGGCCAGAGCCCGTACCTGTTTTGTGGCTGTCTGCGTCCAGGCTGTCTTCTGTCAAATGGGGATCATTCCCCAGAAGTCGATTTTGGGATTCACTCAAGGGCCTTGTGGGGTGACACTGCCCATCCACACTGCTTCAGGAGAGAAGAATGGGTCACGCTTGCTTTAAAGATTTACAAGGAGGTTAAATGGAAGCGAGAGACCAACATCATTTTGAAATATTTTCAAGCCTCCAACATCCAGTCACATTTTCTTGCTGAACCTACTGCAGCACTGATTTACCAAAAGAAATGAACCTGTGCAAAATCAATAATCTTATTAATAATGTAATTTATTTTAAAATGCTTTTGTCTAGTATATTAATCGGTGCAACATGGCATGAATATCAAAGTGTCTCTCTCTCCAAAAATACGATACCTACAGTACACTGCAGGCTCAAATTCAAACAAGTGCTTGTTAAAACACGTCTCACCGCCACCCAAAGACAAATGTCGAGTTAAAATTAGTCTAGTTTTCGGTTTTCTTTACAGGGTATTTGACCTTTGCCCTCCTGGTACTTCACCAGATGACTGACTGCGACTTTACCTTTTAGCCGACTCGGGCTGGATGTCGAGGGCTGGCTGCTCCGGGTCAAGATTTACCAGGCGGGTGGGGTACGTCACTCCATCCCCCAAGCTGAGGGAGATGGAAGAAAAACTGGGATCAGTTCAGGGACTGTGGTCTGAACAGAAGAACCCGACAAGTGCTCTTTCTGCAGCATAAATTCAGTTCTGCAACTTTCGGGGGGGGGGTTCTTCCTGTAAAATGTGCTTTGGTAGTACTTCACAGTATTTCCTTCCCCAAAACCTTCCTTCCAAATATTGTGCTTGTAAATGAATAACCCTGCACTCAGCAGAGTGCTATGACAACCCTAAAACAAGAACACCACACCCAACCATCTGGCTTCACAGCTGTGCATGTGCTTCTAACCCAACACCCAGGGGAAAAAACAAAAGAGTCCAAATCAACAGTGAAGGGCACACCAGGCCCTTCTCAGCCACTAACCTTGTAAAAACAGGCAGCAACCAGTATTTCTTTTCATCTCCAAACACCTCCTTTACGTTCTTGACGAATCCCAGGGAAAAGCCATTTTTATCCGGGCCATTCCTGAAGACAGGAGCTCGGAATGCCTCTGTCAAACAAAGAAACAATCACAGGACCACTCCTTTCCAGAGCACAATAGCCTGTTCATTCCTGTGCTACGGAAACTACCACTGTGGCTCGAATCACCCAGGCAGCGTGTGTGCGCGTGCGTGCGTGTGTGGAGACTGGGCAGGCCAGCCTGGGCTCAGACTCCTTACTGGAGAAGCACACCCCCCAGCAGTGCAGGCCTGACTGAAAGCCTGAGGTTTCAGTGGAATAACTGCAGATGGGAGATTTCGGGCTCTCAGGAGGCCGTGCTCTTGCAGACATTCCCCAGCTGGAAATAACCAAGTTACTTCAGGAAATTCTGACTGGTGTCCTCTGTACGCTGGGGCCTGCGTCTTGTGGCTGAAGCAGAGCAGCCACCCAGGTGGGGCTGCACAGGGCCCCCTCCTACACCAGAAACACTGTGGGATGACTTGGGATGAACAGCTCTGTACAAATAGCAGGAATTACTTACTATTCAGCAGAGAAAGTTTTTTGGATACGTTATAGAAAATGTAACCCTAACCTGCAGCTTTGTTGTGAGTGCCGTCATTCTCCCATCTTTCTGGGGGAGTTTTTCCCCACCTGTTTCGACAGCATCCATAAAGGAGCTCCCTTACCTATTGTGGATCTGTTTTTTCCAACAAGCCAAACATGGTAGCTGAAGAGCGACAGAATACTGATGAAGAACATGGCGGCCACAAAAAAGAGAAACAAGACATGGAATTTGGCGTGAGTGTCTGGAAGATCATTCTAAGAAGGAAAAAAGATTTAAAAAAACACTTATTAGTGTGCAGTTTTTAACAAGACCATACAAAGAGTCTACCAACTCCAATAAGTGTAGAGATTTCAAAGAACCGTAAAATGTTGGCAGTATTGCCCTTCTAACAGAAAGGGGATATTTGTACAGTTTACACAATTTCTAAGGTAGACAATAATGGTCAGGCGTTCTACGCAAGAGAAAAGAACCTCTAGCCCCCAGTAATATTTGAAATGTTCCAGGTACAGCTGGAATAAACCTTTTCAGAGGATGCTTCTCCAGCGCCTAATGAGTTATACATCGACAAGTAATGTTTCCCTGACACTTAATTTTGGAACCGAAGGATGGCTAGTCCTTTTCTTGTTTTAAACATTTCATATTGTTTAATTTCTCAATCCGTTTTAAAGCCCAATAGCGTAGCCTGCTCACTCACACCCTTGACCGTGGACTGCAAACACCCCGCAGTCCCAACTACAACGCCACAGCCTGAGCCCAGAGGCACACATTGCAAAATCACAAACACTGCAAGATGACTGGCATCGCCAAGTTTACCTTTGGACAATTCTCTGCGGATTTCCTCCGGCAAAGCTTTGTGCAAACAGAGACAGACTGTGTTAGATAAAGCAAAGCAGCTCAGAGGCACTGAATGGGGTGGAGGAGTGGAGAAATGAGACATTTGGAGATGGACAGTGGCACTGCTAGTGGAAGGAAGGGCAGTCACAACCAAGCACAGCAGGCATTCACGTGCCGGGAGCTACTGCGGCCATGTCACAACGAGAAGCAAAGTCACACGGCGTCCAATTAAAGGCTCTCTGGTACCAGGTAAGAGAGCAGCAGGCATGAGCAACCGTTTCTCTCTCTCAGATTTCATGAAGTACCCAAGAACACCGAGACCAAAAGGAATGGCAAGTATAAATCACAGTGCTGGTAGGGACACAGACAGCGTTAGGTGCTGGGGTCTGTTTCATCATTCAATCACTGTGCCAGCCTCTTCAGGTTCAAGGTGCCACCCTAATCCTGAACTGTTTTAAGTGCAGTTCTGGCTGTGGTGCGTCTTTGTATTCACAGAGTACTTATTAATGGAGTCTGGCTACTCACTGATGGGTAAAAACCTATAGCCTAATCAACAGCTAAATACATCTGTTCAAGTAAAAAAAAAAAAACAGTATGAACTTGAAAAGGTGTTTCTCAGAACGTTCTTTAACACGCGTCTCAAAAACACATAAAACAGGATAAGAAAAAGCACAGCAGTCCTGGGATTTATGGTACTGCTAAAGCAAACAATTTCAATGGTATTAATTCCACAGAAAAAGCACGCTCTTAAATCTATAACAAGGAGGAGGCATTAAAAATGCAAATCTGAGTATGCTTCATGTGGTGCCGCTAGATTCACTGCCCTGTACTGCATGTCTCAGAGAGCAGGTTTTAATTAGAAAGTTACCTGCAACCTCTGTTCTGTATATCCAGGCTTCTTTCACATCATCATTTTAAATGGGAGTGTAGAGTACTATACACCAGCCAAGGTAAGGTCTGCGTCTAACCCTGCGAATCACTCCTGTTGAAGCACAGCTAACTGAATTAGAGAACGTCAGCGTGTACAATGCGCAGTGATTCAGGTGCACTGCATACTCAGGTCCCAATGGCTACAGCACTGGAGCAGCAAGGGATAAAGGAGCTGACGGACAGGTGGAGGGAGATATCTGGCGATGTTATCTTTCAGCCCGATGGCCTGTTACTACTGTATCAGGACTCAGATTGAAATCTGGACAGTGGAAGTGATTTTAACAGACTGGAAGTGAATGGTCACAGTAGTGTGGAGACGCAGCCAGAGTTCTGGATCTGAAACGGGGAGGGCGATCAAATCCCGGGTGGAGCACGGCTACTCTACCCTTGAACAAGGTGAGGCTTCTCCAGTAAGATGCGTGGCTGTATGGATGGGTACAGACAAGCGATTGTCAGTGTAGAGTTAACCTTTGCATGCTGACACAGTGTCCCACTCCAACATCAAGAAATGGAAGTTGCTTATTGGATAAAACATTTTTTCAATTAAAAAAAGAAATATATACATGAACTTACGGTCCAGAATTTAATGAAATACTGCAGAACGGTGGCAGCAATGAACAGACAGTACACCAGCGAATAGCCCAGAAACAGGATGAAGTATTTATAGTTTGAAAATCCCACGCAGTTGTTCACCCTGAAACAACGATACATAGTATTAAAAAAAAAATTAAATTTGTGTGTTTAGGCACAGAAGAAACATACGATGAATAATGTGTCTGTTCAATTTGCAGCTGGGACTGAGTGTAATGTGGAAATCCTGAAGTATTCCATAAATGTCCTTAGCCAAGGCAACGGTGCAAAGTCCTGCAATTGACAGACCGAGAAAATACACCAGCATTAACAGCATGAGGAAACACAGTACAAAGTGGCTCTGGTAGAAATCTTCAAAGAAGAGGGAATCTGACACAAAACAACTCACCAAGGACAATGATGGTCCATTTTCAGAACACACCTATTGCAAAAAGAAGGGCTCGAAGTTAATACAAAAATTACACAGTGGCTTTGATTCTGGGGGGGAAGAAAGACAACACTGTATGGCCAGATGCAATATACTGCAAATACATTAGGCACTGCATGTCATGCTACTACGCATACGCTACAGAAACCAGGCAGACTTTATTCAACTTGCATATAGACCAAGATCCCCCAGACTTTGCCCTCCTCATTTTAAAACTCTTTCAGGCCTGAAACTAACTTTCACCATTTAAAATAAAAATTCTAGCCATGTTCCTCAAGCTCATGGATCCCTGGAACTACCAAGATTGGGGACACTGATGCCTTTCAAGAGCGAGGTCCCAGGAACCTCGATCCCGTTTCATCAGACCCGATCACCAAGAGCGAAACGTCCTGCTGAAAGATAGCAAAACAACTTACATGTCACAGGCCGAGCAGTGATGGCATCTGTCAGGTTTAATCACCTGGCACCGGTCGCAGTACCTAATGGCTGGATGAGAATGGGTGAATCAGTCAAGCTGACATGAAACATTACAGTATACACCCAAGCGCTCACATGTAAGGAAGGCCTTTACTACGCTGAGGTTGCTAAACATTTCTGCCAGTCTGGCCAAAGTCAACCGCACAGCGCCAGAGGAGGAGCCCTCGTCCCGCTCGGTGCAGCTCGGGGCCCGAGTGGAAGTGACGGAGCTGTAACGCGCCATCACGAGACCCTGCCTGCTTCAGAGGACACACCAGAAACACAGCCCCTGGTCACGAAAGAGCCCCAGAGACGAGCAGCAAGCACGAGCGCCGCGGAGAGGAGGCTCACCGCCGGTGCCAGTCCTGGTGTAGAGAGGCAGGTCCTTGGCTGCTCTTCTGAGAATCTCCTGCTGCGACTCGGGCCTCTCTTCTCGCTCGTACTGCTCCTTATCGGATTTGGACAAGGAGAACTGCAAAGGCGAAAACAGTGTTTCACTGTCAAACCCATCACCCAGTGCACAGTCTGCAAGAAAACCTGCTGGGCCAAGACATTTGTGCATCAAGAGAACGGTTCTTTGAGCTTCCCGAGTGTTTGTGTGTGTTAATATTTGGCCATCTGAAACTGCTGACAGCAATGAGGTTTACAGGGTTTTTACCATTTGCTTATTATCTACTGCATATTATATAGTACCACTGAGAATTCTGAAATTCTTACAGCATATGAAGCGTGCTCACACCAACACCCTTTATATATACTGGTTCAAGGGAATCTATACCCTCCAGTATGTCAACAACCATGACATCTCTGGGATTTTCATGCACAATCTGGAGAATGCCATAGATGAAAAGCTGGAAGGACCATAGCAATATTTTGGGCACTAATAAAATAAAGCACTCAGCGACAAGCATGGTTATCCTGGTTCTACGAGAGGACTGAGGCAGAATCCCATCAGACTACACCTGCAGCCTGGGGCAGAGCACAGATGTACAGCTTCCAACAGCGGCTCCTCACTGCTGGCCTGTAGCGTCACAGGAAAAGCCTTGCTAACAACAGGCATTAGTCCGTTTAACATCGGCCACGTCTGCTCAATAAAATATCAGCAAACCTTCTACAAAAAAGGTAATTTTCCTGATGATAGCAACTGATTATTGGTCCGATTATAAGCAAAAGGTTTCCCTTGTTGCTCAGTAAATATACAGTAAAAGAAGACGGGTTACCTCCTTGGATGGGTTTGCTGGCGTCGTGAAAATGGTCTTCCAGTAGGACCACACGAACATGATGAACGACAGGTGAAATATCACCATGTAGACAACTGCAGAAAAAACACAGGCAGACCCGCTCAATCTAGGCAGTCGAAGGCAAAATAAACTCCAATCAAATGGGTAAGTGTTGAAACTGGGTTTGAGAACATCCGTTTAAGGATCATACATGCTGGGGAAATGCAAAGGAATGCACTGTTTCAAAAAAATGAAACTTAAGGGAAAAACTACCGATATATTCCTCATCGATATTGAACAGGAATAAAAACAACTATCCCGACAGCGGAAAAAAAAACAAAACAGTAACGCATTAAAAAACACCAGCTAAACCAGTGGCAGCGTTCTTCCAGCCTTGAGGCCAGCGATCGGGCTAGACTGGTCTGTCATCACCTGCTGCACCTCAGCTGACGAGGAAAGAGCTTGAGATCTGCACTTACTCTTTTCACCAGGATTCTTGATTGTAACTGGAAAAGAAAAGAAAAGAAAAGAAAAGAAAAAGCACGTCAGCATTTCCAGGTGTTTCAGGAGTCGCCACAAAGCGGACAGCCCAGTTCATGGATCGCACAGAAGATCCTCACTACTTGTGACAACGCTTGATCAACACTATTCACAATGATGGGGATGGACTCTTAAAGATGTTGCTTCAGTCCATTATATATTTTTCCCCCCAAACAAAGAGAAGACATGATCAAATAAAATGGACTATTTTAATGTAATGACATTTTTTCTCCGATGCCATTAGCTGAATAATCTCTGAGCATTAATAGTTTTTTTTTCCCCTCAACGACAAAAAAAATCTTTAAACACAGAGCCAGACTTAGAATGGCTACAATAACACACACACAGATCAAACACCTCCTATAGCCTGCTCTTCCAGTGAGCCTCCCCCCTCTGGGGATCGAGCTGTTCTTTCATGCAGTCTCACTCCCGCCAGTCCCCTCATCACAGCTCTGGTGGACTGGTAGACTTCCTGCCCTTCAGGAGACAGAGCACTTGTGGCTTTGAGCCCTAGTCCCTTATTCCCGCTCAGGCTGTACTTCCACAAGCCTCTTGTCAACAGGACCCACTGCGCTGCCCCTCTGACAGAAACTGGCTCACGCTAATAATATCGCCAGACATCACACGGAGGAACGCGGAACTTTAATCAACTTCACCTGCAGATCCTGTGACGGCAGACGCGCCGCATCACCCCGTGGAGAGATCATTCTTACTGGTCATGCACGGCTTTTATAAAGCCATAATCCCTCATGACAGGCCGCTGAATTACTAGACCAAAGCCGAACGAGAGGGGATCAATACTATTAAAATCAATCAGGAAAAACTTTGCTGCCAAGCTGAGATACTATTATAGATTCATTTCATAGACGTATAATTGGCAGATCGCCCTGTGGGGTTGCAAGGAGGCCTAATTAGTGGTTGTGTTAATGCATCAACTTCACTGTACAATACGCGACAGGTCCTTCAGCGAATTTCAGGACTCGCATTTCCACACATGCGGCTGAAGTGGCTCTGCTCTGCAGTGCAAGCGAGCAGCCCTCCCTGTTGTCAAGCGAAGGGATGGAGCTGACGAGCTGACGCCCGAGTCTCCGGGAAGAGCTCCTGCAGACTGAAAACCCACACACGCCCCCACACCCGCCCCCCCCCCCCCCCAAAAAAACAAAGTGTCTCCCCAGCGGAGGGGCTTTCCAGGAACACCCCTCACCCATGTGCGCTGCCATACACCCTCATCAACAACCTCGCACCCTTTTAACTGACGTGCCGCTGTCGTGGAAAACGTCTAACAGTGCGAGCCGGTAGAGGAGGTGCCGATCATCATCGTGATCAACCCGGCGGGAGCCTGGGACAGTAAACGCCTCACACCCGCGGTCAGGGGGGGCGCAGGGGACCCCCGCTGCTGCACACCGGAGGGGGGTACCGAGAGGGCAACCCAGGGCAATGCGCGGCGCCCTGAAGCCGAAAGCAACAGAAGAGCTTCAGTAACCCTGCTAGTCGAGCTCGTTTGCAACATCGGTAGCTGGTACAATCCGCTGATAAAAACAGTTACAGTACTGGACCTCCATTTAGACATACATTACCATTAGAATGCGCCGCATTTAAAACCCAAAGCTGCACAAGACCTAGACCGGCGTTTCAGCACCTGTGTGTGTGTGTGTAAACTGCACATAGCCGAGATTACATTAATACAAAGACAGATTAATACAACACGAAAAACTGCCATCAAGAATAAACGCACCACGTCGATCTGTACATATATAACCCTTTTCACCAACGAAAAAAAACCCCAACACAAGGCTGCAGAAAAGCAGGATTCGTCCCTAAATAAATATATCTGAAGTATTATTGAGACACTTGGCCAGGCGAGTTTCTAAAGCCAGGGAGCCGTCTGTCTCACTAGAAGCACTTCCTACTCTCACACCCCGCCTTTCCCAATAACCGCCGCTCCCAGGGGCTCCGCCAGCAAAAGAGGAGTTGACTCACAGATGCACAGCTCCACGACATAGGCGTAGTAGGACCAGCAGACAACCAGGGCGATAAAAACCACGGGAATCCAGGCTAACACTCTCTGACAGCATCTCAGGACGTGCGAAGGCGCCATCTTTAATCCCAGCCCGCAGGAGGAAGCGGCTGGAGTGACGTAACGGCCCCGCCCCCCGCCCGGCCGGTCGTCACTAATCAGAAGAGACGGCGCAGCTGAGAGACCTGCAGGGGCGATGCACGATCATTGCTCGAATTCGCAATTCGCACAGACGTTTGGCGGTCTGTTTTGCGTATGGCTCATTTCAACAAGCTAACGAGTGTAATACTGTCCCGCTTGAGCGCTGCGTCCCCGTGAAGCTGCCCCGGGTCTGGGCCGGGTTATGTTTCTCAGTTTTTGTGCATTAATTGAACTGAGAAACACATGTCGATAAAATGTTGTCTCAATTTGTATATTAATTTCTACAAAATGCCATGTGCAAAATGCATATATATTACGTGATATATACTTCGTCAGAGTGTCATTATGGAGTGTTTTAAAAGAACAGCGGTTGTAGTGTTTGACGCCTTGGCATGAGAGATTACTCCCAAGTGCAAACTTGACCTGCAGCTCCGGGCCTGTGGACCCGCCCATCTCCAGAACCCGACTTCACTCCAGTCTCATCATCAACCTGTCTTCAGGCTCTTTCCGTAAGAAAGTCAATTTCAGCTGGAGCCGCGACCGTTTTGTATTTCATCTGAGCTAAATCAGAAATTGCGGTGACTGTGGCCAAATTTAGCGGAATATAGTGTATTTCATAGATTTAACATTGTCAACACGAATCCCTTTGTTTCGTACATTATAAGCGTTCATTAACTGAAAAGAATTGTTTTTTTTTTGCAGATACACATCATAAAAATAGTCTGTCGGAAAACAATAAACGTCATTAAACGTATTAATGAATTAATAATACATTTTTGAGTAACCAGGTTCTTGTTTACCATCTGTCCCAAGTCCTGCAGGAGGTAACAAGAACTAATGTCCAGCAATGACAGAGCTCTTTCATACTGAGGATAATATATGACCGCACAACTGCTTTGTCTGCACCAGACTGAGAGCAGGTCTCATCAGCAGAGCACCCAGGGATGGATTTCCAGCTCTCAGATGGTTTTAGCAAATTAAAACCAGGCTTGTGTGTGATCAGAGTAACTCCTGCTCTACAGGACTGTGTTGATCAGCACATTTCACCCACACACACAGAGAGACAGCGTTGTCAAGCACTGTCTTCGTGAAACCATCCGTCTCCACAACTGTTACCACAACAAAAAGCACGTCACTCACTATTCTGTAAGAAAGTGCTTTATTGATTACGTTAATGCTGTTCAAATACCAAAACCCTGATTATTACAAACAAAACCAGAACGCTAGCACCCCGTAATACGATTGGAAAACAAGACCACTGTCATAAAAAAATACAAAATAAACACTTGTCACAAAAAAAGCAGTAAACAGTTTCCGAGTTTTTGACTTCATCTTGGTTTTGAAAGACATCGGTACTTTCTAGGCTTTGTAAACAGAAAAGCTTCCTCTCGCTGTGGGAACTGCGCTGTGTGGAACGGGGCTCCTCTCCGGTGGACACTGGGGGTTTTCCCACGCGCAGCCTCCTGCAGTTCCTCCTGCACTGGGTCACTTCACGCGGGATCACGCATTCAGAGCAGGAAAGAGGAGCCGGCTGGCACATTGCCCACTGCCTGTGTTTAGTGCTGCAGTTGGCCTTTCCGAATTCCGAAGGGAGGGGAATTTAATTTGAATGATTACGCGCACATCTCAGTAATAATGTGATAGTTCCTAGGTATATGAAAAACACTACTGTACATATAGTATGTGACATTTTAACTGCAAAGTTTTCAATTTAGCTTGAAACTCTAGCTACTGTATGACATGATGAGATGGGAAAGGATACAGGCAGGTGGAGGGACGTTTCTTAATGAAGTATGAAGACACAATAACCTCTTTTCCATGCAATTCCTGAGGTCTCCCATCTAGGTAAAAACTAAGGGGTGTCTCATTTCTTGGTCTCTTAGAGTCCCTGTATTAACACTCATCTTCTACTCCTGTGTGCCCTAAATGTTCATTGATGTAAGATATGAAAAGGTTCAAATACGACATCAAATTAGAGATCTAGTTACTTCATTTCATTTTGCACGTACCAAGAGGCAAATATTTTAATTTACCATCTCCACACACTTAGAATTTAAATGACAATTCCCGCTGAAAGCCCCTTTGAGAACACAAGTAATCAGAAGTGCAGCTGATGCATGCGATGGGATCAGAGATGGAATGAGTTGTCGTCTGGGAAAAAAAGTATTTCTCTGTGTTAACATACTAAGTAAATGGCTCCATTTTCAGGTTCGGGGTCTCTTGTGCAATCTTATTTACTGCTTTGTAGGTTCTATTACAGTATACGTAACTCCAGTCATGCCCTAACATTAGAGCTCATATTGTAGCATTACACACTCTCTCATCTTACAACCAGTGTCCAACACAAAGGACTGAGCGATGAGCAGGAAAAGACCCCCATGAATCCACAGCAAGTACACTGGAATGCTGCAGTCTTAAAACAAGTCTTTTTAGACAGGACCTTATCCAATAGCAAAACAAAGGGTTTATTCACAAAAACTGACTGGTTAAAAGGGAAGGCCCTCCACTCATTATCAGAGAGTCCCTTGCTCCTGGAGAGAGCTGAGGCAGTCTGGTCTGGTCCGGGAAGTGGACGGCACAAGGTGGGACTGCACCCAGGACAGGACTCCCGTTCAGCGCAGGGCCCACACTACACAGGCACAGTTTAAAATGAAACCCGCCAACATGCTTTCACAAGATGGGAGGCAGCCAGAGGACCTGACGAACAAGAGGGAGCACGCAGGCTCCACACAGAAGGAGCCCCAGGCCAGCATCAAACCCCGAACCCGAGAGCTGCGTGGCAGCTGCGGGGGCCGCCACACCGATGTGCCTCGCTCACACGTGCCATGTCAGCTCTCGCCGCTGTGTCAAACCAATAAGACAGGAAAGTGTCCATACAAAAGCAAAGTGACAGGACTGGAAAAAGGAAAAGCTGCAAAACGTATCATGCCCCCCATTCCACATCCCCAGCATGCAGCA